GTATACCGGGTGAGGTTACAACAATAAATTTATCTTGTCACGACAATAAAGTTTACCATATTGTCGTTCTGTATACAATTGTCATGTCAAAAGCGCCGAATAGTAAAGCCTTCTGAAGCAGAAAAGAAAAGTGGTTCGCATCGATTGTTAATTACTCTGATTGCCTGTGTGATATTAACTACATATCAATCGTATTCAAAAGTACATATCTTCTTTCTCTTCTTATGACTTTGTTCCGTTTCCTACATCAGTCTAAACCTTATAGATTAAAGTATGTAAAGCTGTGTTGACATTGATATTATCTTTGACTTGAGACTAGTTGTAAGTGGTGAGAAAGGCATTGAAATAGAATAAATTCGATTCTTTCTTATTCTGGTACCATTGATTTTTATTTTAATGCTGATTTTCCAAGTTCTGAACTACTTCCAGTGTTGAAACGTTGATTCTAGTTACTACCATTCTTAACATTACTCGTACACCAGTCAACTTATTGTCAATGTGTACTTTTTACTGATTCTGATTTATTCATTCCATTCAGTTGTTTCTGTTGACTCATAACTTGGTTTGAGTGATTTATTTGCTTCGATATATTCATATAAATAAAATTATTTTATTTATTTATTTATCTAAACAAAAACATTGGTAAAAATGGTGCACCTAAATATTTGTGCGCCTAATTTAATGAATTTGTGAATGGGCTGGGAAACTGCCCTGATGCCTAAACCGAAGCAGATGGTTTTTTTCAAGGAAAGCGGACTCTCCGCACTTTCGACCGTACCAGGGCATTTGAGTGAAAATCCTAATGAAGAGTTGAAAACGGTTTAGTTCTCTTATATGTATTGTTTGAATTCCCACTATGAAAATTTCTACGTAGAATTCATAAACAATTTAGCCGACAAGATAATTCAGCGAAGTTAACTAATTAAGTTTTCTTATGAGGAAACGAACTTCATGACTTTCGAGGAAGTGTTTAAAACTATTCCGAATTGAACCTACATTCCGATTATGGCTACATAGATTACGTAATCTATGTTTGAAAAAGAGGACGCCCATCACCTCATTTTGAGATGATGAGGCTCTCTGTTTCCCAAATTTTTACAAGCAAATCAGTTTGGCGGTTAGAGGCTAACTTCCATTCTGGAACTGTTCGAGATACATATCTTCTGCTTCTGGTAGCGTCTCATAACTAGTTATTTCTTGTTGATCTCCATCTCGTTATACTGACTAGTAACCACTAACCAAAGAGAACTGGATAGTTTTACGTTTCTGAGACAACATATCAATTGAACTGGAAGTGCTGTACTCAGCGATTAAGATGCTTTTGTAGGTTACAAATCGACAAGCTATCAACGTCACATATTATTTCCCTGACACTAAACTTCCTGCTCCTAGTGAATCGCTGGAGTAGCTTCTGGCAATTACTAAATGCAGCAGTTGCTTCCAACTCCTTAACAAGCTCTGACTATCAGATTTTTAGTCCTTATGCAAGCTTTGTGAAATTCTCTAAGTTAGAGACCTACGTATGGTATGAAACTGGTGATTCACAGTAGACCGACGTGCCAAAGTTGTAAAGAGGACACAGAAGCCCAGCATTTTGAAATCGGACACCTTACAAAGCAGTAAATAAATTTTCTAGTTACTTTTACAGCACCATGAAAGCACAGCTGGTACTCATTATTAATTTTTATTAGCTAAACTGGTTGCCAATCGAAACCAGTCTGTTGAGACAATTTTTGATTTGCTTACTTAAAAATGTATATAATTTGATTGAACAAGTCCTGACCGCCAACATATCGAATTAAACAAATAGAACCTAGTATTTCAGATCATTTTAGACTTTCTACAACCTCAAAGTAGATGGGAATAAAAGCACTTTTAATATGTCATTGATAGTTCAGTTGAACTGTGACAAACTAGTGTTGTTAGAGGCTAGAAGAATTATCCAAAGTCACCTGCTTTCCAAGGTTGTCAGTGACTGGTGGTGGCTATTTTAAAACCCCTTTTTACATTAGTTTCTTTATTAAGCCCAAATAATTATTGACTCAAGTCTGGTACTAACACCTTCCAACCTTATTTGCTTTTGTTATTCACCATTCTTTGTGAAAGAATTACACTACAGGTTGACCAGTGTCTAAGTTCCATGGCGAAAGCCCCCAAATATCACCCATGAGGATACAGAAACTGTAACCCTCAGAATCTTATGGGCAAAGAGTGCTGAACCTGTTAGTTTCCAAAAAAGAATATTTCTATAGTCAAATCAGGGGAATCATTTAATGTTCAAATAATCGCCTTCCTCTTGAGTGCACGTACAGTCCCGTCATCTTCAAACCGATCGCAGAAAAGCTTTTCAAATCTTAGTTTATTTCTTTCAAACTAAGAAAAACGTTCATCGTACCCAGGTTAAAAGTTCGCTAAAATTTTATTCTCCTTGAAGTAAAGGATTTTTAGCCACAACAGTAAATTGCTTTAGGTACGTAACACTTACTTGACTATTAAACAAGTCTCGGATGAATAATCTTCACAGAGCTTTTATTTATTTAATCTTTTTAATTGATCAATGTTTTGGAAAAATATCGTTTTCATTTCAGACATTAAGTAACAAAACAATGACAGAAAGAAAAGATAAAATATAAATACTTTTATTATATGATTATGCTTTTATCAGTATATTTACATGCAAACATAAAAAGAACCAAAAAAACTCATAACAATTTAATCGTGTAGGATGAAAAGAAAGTTTAGAAGTAGAAAATTATTAAAACATTTACAGTTATAACCATATCGTTAAATAAACAATACTAATCAGGCATACAAATAACGGTTAGAAACTGGTTTTATATACAAATGTTATAAACACCATGTAACGTCGAGAAAACATTCCTTTCCCAACAATCTTGAGATTAGTTTATAGTGATGATTTTAGTCATAGTTTATCGTGACAACTAAATAAAATTATACTTTCCTAGTTACTTTAGATTACATCCAGTAACTAACTTTTCAGGAATTGATCTCCACCTGGAGGTTCGCTTATCAACTTAAAAAACACAGACAACAGTCCTATTTGGTAGTCTTGAGCAACAATCCTAGCATGTTTGTGATGACCCTGTCTCATTAGATCCAAAATGTTGTTTCAAGACTGATCTATTTCAACAATTGAGTAGACACTCCCAACTCTCGGCCGAAACAGAGCATTTAGGGCGGTCTCTCAGTTAAGATTGTCACAGTTAGCATTACAGAGGAAAAAGATCAACGAGAAAAACGTAAGTCAAAATAATAACAGTTCCAATGATAGTAAAAGGACATGGGAGATACTGATACTCAATATACTCGTCATTTGACAGATGGACTAGTGTATCGCATTATTCAGGGCTGAAACTATCATATATTTCACCACTGATTTATTAGGGTTGATAAGAATCCGAAGATCAATAAGGGGACTAAAACGGACCAGTTCTGCAGAAACATTCTGAACTGAAAAAAAAATGAGAGCACCCCATTATTCAATTAGGTATGATTTGTGTTGAGAACATCAGTCACTACTGGGAACTAATCAGTCATTTTTGGTGATAGATCACCTATAAATGAAAAAACCTTAGTAGAAAAATTTACTCTAGTTCCTTAGCTATTATTATACAGATCCCTTCTTAAGCAATGTCCAATAGAAAGGTAAAGCAGCACGAAGAAGAGTTTGAAGTCAGCAGTAAGTCGTAACTTGGGTTCTGTAGTTACTTGCAGTGTAGAGCTTGGAACCAACGTGCATCCATTCAAGTTTTTGTACCGCATTGGTACATGGAATTGTTAGGTCAAATCCCATAGTACAGGCAGTAGTAATAATGGAAAAGACTATGGATCGAAGAGAATATTCAAGAAAACACAAATCAATGGAATTCTATAAAACAAGGTTGTGTGGAATTCCGAAGCTTAGAGTTTAGGATAAGAAAAAGAATGGACAGACCTGTGTCACTGCAAACGATTTGCAGTCATGTCATTTGAAGTCTATTACCCCCGGTTACGACTGTCTCGTGGATCCCAACCAGGTATTCTGCACCCAGTTATAGGGATCAGTCTAGTTGTCAATGACTTCAACGACTGGTGTCACGTTTTGGTCCAGCTGCCGCTAACCGACTTCAGTCTACTCATATAATAGACGGCATCACCCGTGGAGGTTCTACTGGGAGTTCGGAATGCTAGAACCTTATTACTCTTTAGAAAATATTCATATTACTGACTCACTTGACCAGATGAAAGCAATGAATGACCTGGCACATAGGGCCATCGATTCAAGTTAGTATACCATATCAGTACAGTAAGATTAATTCCAGAGTAGTATTAGTAGTAGTGAACGTATCAAGAAGAAACGTGAAGCATAGATAACGTGATTCGAGGTGTGAATGGAAGAATCTCGCACGAATTCGACGGACAAACATCGTGATGAGGTTAAGGGATCAAAAAACACTAAATTGAATGCATTATTAAACTGAAGAATTAGAATTTGAGTACATTAGATTTTGTGCTAAAAGAAATAAAGTTAAAATGTAATATTTGACAAACTTTATTTATACATGCCGATTAGTAAATTTATTAGGGAAACATTTATAGTGTGCATAACCAAGAAAAATTATTCGATGACAAAATGAGGTAGGTACAATGAAAATATGGTGCCTACATTTAAAAAATACAACATGGAGATTATTGTACAATGATAAGTATAGATACACAATAGGGTAGAGTTATCTGTACATTATTTTATGTTGAATAGAACTAAATGAGGGCGGAAAAGGAAGATTTTGTGTTTTAAAAGTTAAAAGTAGCGATAAGCATGACAATTAAAACATTAGCCTGTGATTTTCAGCATAATTTACCAAAAGTAAAATAAATAAAGGACATAAATAACATATAAGTTTAACATATGATTTCTGATGACTGTACATCTTATAACTGATTACCAAATTACTGGTTCTTATTGTTAACATGGACTCAGGAAACTGGTAAGTTAAAATTCACTTATCTTCAAGTTTAGAATTTCTCGGAGGAGTAGCAGGCCATCCAGAGTTAAGAGACCGGAAGTTGAACTTTTTCTTATCTGCGGGTTTTAATATCTATATGTAGAGGTAAGTAAAGTTTACAAATCTCACCTGGAAGGAACAAGTAAGAGTTTCATCAACAGACATCATAGCCCCAGCATTATCGAACTCCCCACAATAGTTTGGAGCAGAAAATAGAGTTACGAGCTGACGTTTGGCAAAAAACTCGTAACCATCCTCCACAACCTTAAGAAATTAAGAAAATATTATGGAACCTAACTTTACCTGATGCGCTCGACAGATAAGATCCAACTCGTGGCTGTGGAGGAACCTGGTAACAATATCTGCACCAAACGTATAACTGACACCACGATCATTTTCCCCCCACCCAGTAATATCTTTGTCTGGATCGGACCAAAGCAGGTCACAGAGCAAACCTTGCTCTGGAACATCGGTTGGGCGCATAATCCTGCGGATTTGTTCCATGGAGTGTAGGTCAGGAGAGAGACCTGTGTATTTGAAAGTATAGACTACAACCTACCACCATGACAACAAAAGATTTTTTCATCTACTATGGCGACTATCGGTAAACAGTTGAAGCAATCAGTAAAGGTTTTCCACAATTTTATATTGTACCTCCGCTTGCCTACATAAATGAATTAAGTCTACAGTCAGCTTACATTCATCATAAAAACCATATATACGATTGATCGATGCGCACTCATGGTTTCCACGCAAAAGGAAAAAGTTTTCTGGGTACTTTATTTTGTAAGCCAATAAAAGACAAATGGTTTCGAGAGACTGTTTGCCACGATCGACATAGTCACCCAAGAATAGATAATTAGCATCGGGTGGGAAGCCACCATACTCAAACAAACGAAGTAGGTCATAATACTGGCCATGGACATCCCCACAGATCTTTAAAGGTGCCTCAAGTTCCAGCAGAATCGGCTGTCGAAGGAAAATTTCCCTTGACTTCAGTGCTAACCCTCTTATTTCTGCTTCGGATAGTTGAACATTCTTTCCTGGACGAGATCCACGGACTATACAGTGTAAAAAGTATGCGTAAATATAAATAGATCAGGAAATACCCTCCAAAAGCCTCGATATCAAACTGTCGATATTTAACTTATCTAAATCGGCCATAAATTCTCAACACGAATAACCTTCATTTACGACCTAATGGATCATTGATTCAAATAAACAAATCCTAACCCCAAAAATTGTAGTCGAAAAAGAGTCAAACAACAAGTGCCTCTGAATTTTCGACGGTGAATTTTTGATTTTAAGCTAGAAGTAAAGGTATATCTCTCAGTATCAGTTAACTGAAGGAAAGTTCCTCCAGTATGTACACATGAGACATAAGTCCTATGCTCAAGAACTCACAATATCACTTGCGTACAAACGTTGTTCAAGAGAGCGAAGACACATTGCAGCACACTTACAGTACAAAAAATGCAGAAGATTACCTAACGACCATCTTTCAAAAGAACGGCTATCCATGTTACTTCAAAAAAACATCGACAGAAGCAAAATCAAGTGCTGGAACCAACAAATGGATTATTCTACCATGCATGAAAAAATATCAGAAGTTAAAGGCCGACTATTGAAACCACTTGGATTAGTTGTAGCACGCAAACCAACAGACTCACTTCAATCAATCCTATGTAGACCAAAGGACAATATAACAAAGGAAAAAGAACCTAACATCGTTTACAGAATAAATTTCTCAGATTGTAAAAAACACAACACAGGACAAAGTGGACGTTCTTTCAGCTTCATGTGCATGAACATCAATAGGCAAACGCCACGACATTTCTTCGCTTTTGTCAATGCATACGAACAACTATGAAAATACTTTCGATTGAAACAGTGTGGAAATACTGGACAAAAGCACAAGGAAAACTAGAGAATTTTTAGAAGCTTGGCACTGCAGTCAGTCAGCAGTCAACGAACACATCGATACTGACCCAGTTTATGAATTAATCATAAAAACCAATAGGCAAACATAGGATCAAGAAACGTATCAAAACAGTGATACAATCAAAACAAAAACAACGACAGGTTTAAGGTCAATAGCAACTTATCAAGATCGAGGTTAACAGAACAATCTACAGTTTAAATGTGGAGAAATTCGAATGCCTAACTTTTATCTGAAGTTTGTGCCAATGTTGTTCAGAAGAATAATGGAAGCTCCTCAACCAAAACACCTAGCTTAGAGAACGAATCACCACTAAAATCACTCACCTGAGCTACGAATTTTCTCTACCATCTGGAAATTATTACATTTGACCGGAAGTTTTGCACAGTAAATTAACACTAGAAGGCAACCTGGTTTCTTGAATCATTTATTGAAACTGCTATTATTTTTAAAACTGTTTTTCTGTTAAGTTTCCCGTACTAAACATTTTCTTCCTCACCTACTTTTATGATTATGAGACGAATTAGATGTTAGCAGTAAATTCGTGTTGAACTCCAAATGTGATTAACAATTAGGACATAGTCATAACGCATAACCCATTACCTGCTATCTTATTCAGATCTTCGTCAATCTTGATGGAACTTAGCACTCGCAATATAATTGTGTGACTAGCATTTGTCTTCTTTTAAGGTGCCCGTAAACTATGATTTTGTTTCAAGAATATAGACACGTTAGTCACATGGTTTTTTATGTCAAGTCGAATATATATAAACATTTGTTTTGAGGTAGAAATTCAAGTGATCACAGTATTCATTTGGGCTAAGATCATATGTTTTTGCAGGCACTTTTCTACAGGAAGACATATCGATGAAAAACCGACATAAGGGGAAATGTAGCACCCACGACAAGCGAACAAGCAACTTCCAGTTTATTTCTCCCCTAGATTTTTAGGAATGTCCCCTTTATTTCTATCGTGTTCATCATCATTATCACATTTTGTTTGGGAAGTTTGGGAAGCTGATCAGCTCCAGAAAGCCAATCATGATAAGGAACATACTTAATCAAGTGTCATATCTGGGAATAAACTTCAGCTTAAGTAGTTCTCAGATGTTTGTGTCGCACCTAATACTTGAAGACGACGGAAATAATAGAAGTCCAACATTCGAATTGCTCCAAGCCTTTAAAAGCCAGAAATTCGATTTATCCTTTTATTCATTGGGATACCACAAGTAAACAATCTACACAATGCTGAACACAATTGAAACTATCAAGCCTAACTTTAGTAGTGGTACTTCATCTTTTCTCTTCTCCAAACATGAAATTCTGGTCAAACTGAACCTACACTAAAGTTCACAAGATTTACGAAGCAACTCAAGGATGTGGTTTAGCTGTTCCCATTGTTTATAAACTGTGCTGTTGCCTGAATGAATGAATTTGTAAATAATGAAAGTATTTATAGCCGATAGGGCAGATACACACCAGTCTCACACTCTTGATCCGTATGATACAAAATTGGTTATCGAAATGAATATTATACTATTGTGGTTAATGAACAGTTTGAGATAGCCAACTAACGGTACTTACAGCATTGAATTCTTGCAGAACGAAAGATCGGGCCTCTGAGTCATTAAGTGAAACACGCAAACAATAAGTACACAATAAACCGGAAGTTCATTGTAGGAACGGGGAAACAAAGAGCATGAATCACGCAAGCTGTTTTAGGAACGAAATTTGTGCAGTAAATGAATGATATCGCTGTTTCACAATTCTTTACTTAGTCAAAATTCTAAATTTTATGGAGGCTTGTAAAGAAAAACAGCTTGATCTAATAAGATGCTTCAAGAAGCTAATAGACCCTACACTGAATGGCACGACAACATAAGTAAGATTTGAATTGTAGAGCGGTTTTAAATGAAATTATATATTAAGATAACTCAGTTTGTGTAACAGGAAGAGAAATAACTTTAGTTGGCTTGGTGCTGTTCAAACTATTATTAGAAAGTTAAAAACAGTACCTTCTTTTAGGAAGAATCGTAATGCTTCGAGACTTACTCTGGTCCCAACAAACATAATTCTGAAAGATAAGGTAAAGTAACTTTCGATTTATCTTAAAACCCTACTTAAAGTTACGGAGGCAGAATATTACATTTACCCGTTTAATGGGGACTTTGAATAAAATCACCTTTCTTGTGGATTTCGCGACTCTACTATAAAGTTGCCTCGTTCATTTCTACCAGCCTTGTGATCTGAAGACATGTTCTTTAAAGGCTTAATTCGTGAGCTTTTATAAATTATCTAAGGTAAGAAAAATAAGGTGACGCGCGCATGACGATATCTACAATAATAATATTAGAATGATATTGGTATAAGTGTCATCACCCAGCATCAAACCCTAAATGATCATCATAAGTATGTAGTGACTTTTTTTGTAAGGAGAATGCGACTGGTTTAATAGAAACATTTATTATTACAACCCATTGTACCAGTGATTGTCTTACTGGACCTCTTTGATTATTTCCACTCTGTACGCTCAACCTCTCTGTTTGTGTTGCTGCCATTTTCCTCCACTGTCTCTGTAATTTCTCTCCTCTTTTCTGGCACGACTTCGGTATTCTTTCGGTAAAAGAAATTGCCAGCAAATATTTTTTGTATGGATCAAACGTTTTTCTCTGTGGTGGGCATGTGATTGGTCTGTAGTGGTGATCTTAGTCAATCTCCATACGACTTGCGCCATTACAGTTGGTTAGCTGACGTTTCTTCCAAAGAAGTCAATTACAGTGAGTCTATAATTCGTCTATCCAAGTTTCCATCACGTAATACTACTATTAATATTATTTAATATATATTATAATTGCAACAACGCTTCAAAATGGTGGGTGGCTATAGCAATAGACTCCGAGGTGCAGGTCACCGCATTTTAACCTGTCTGCTTCCCGTTACCTAAAGTTGCTTGCTTAGTTACGTGCACGATTTTTGCGCTGACTCTAGGCACCTAATGGACACAAGTGTCAAATTTCTATTGCAGCAGCAAGTCTCACGCTACAACGCTTCGACTACGCGCTGCGAATGGTTCTGTCATTCATACCCACAGTACACGACAGCTGACAATCAACCTGGATAATCGAAGAGAGAATCTGTTAACGTTCATCTGTGCTCAGTATAGGTTCCCTAGGGCTCCATGAATTGCTATTAGATTCTTGTAGGATGCAGCTGATCAGTACTTCATCGAAATTTAAATTTAGGGGTTTTAACGCTCCAACAGATATGTACCGAATCACTAGTGTTTTTTTGAATCATTTACTTCATGTTGTATTTGACAAATTCCCCGTAGTAACTAAACTGATGAGATTCTAACGGTGATTAATTATGTGGTAAGCCTTATCGTCACCTGCAGACCCTCAGTTACAGAAAAAACCTCGCCGACTGACACTGAACAACTCAGTTTTCGCTAAGCCTGAGTTTAATAGTTCACTTGCTATATGTGTTACTTCGACTTTCTCACAGTCCTTGTGCCTCCTCTCTCCATTCAGTTCGCAAAAAAAGATGACGCGACTATTACAGAGCAGTAATGGTAGATATTAATGTTCCGCCTCAGAACTTGTATTACGACATTGCGTCTGCTTGGGGAATTTTTCACTCGACGGAGTAGTAATAACTTTAACAAGCCAGACTACATCCAACAACTCTCTGAGTAGATGCGAACACTGCCTCCGATGTCAACTAGGATATAGAAACGACAGCTCGCTCCCCCTCGATAGCTATTTACCTGTTCACATGTTTTCATAATAGTAGGTTTGGTACATAAACATTTGCAACAGGATTGGGAAGGAACTTTCCATGTGAGCTCTCGTCACGAAAAGACCTTCAGAGTTGGTCGACAAGGTCATCATTGACCGTCTCAAACAAGCACAGGTCGATGATAATGCCCTACCTGATAAATCCAGATTCAATGCTTGACCAGTCTCCTTCAAACCCCACGCTAGATACATCAGCGACCAAATTCTCATGTCACAGTCTACAGCACGTGTTATCTGCACTATCAACAGATCAGACTTCAGGCTCACGTCCGCGTCAGTAGACAGCGCCACCCTTGACATCGGATGAGGTTGAAGTCCCAAGCTCTCAACCACGGTGCACGAACGGGACTACCGCTTCACGTTCCGGTAGCCACGCACGTCTACCTGCACGGCTTCGCGATAAGCCCCAGTAAGCAACGTTTACGGTCTAGGTTTATACCTCTTACTACATTTTTGTCAAACATTTTACTTTTTCTTTGATCTTATTGTCCTGAGCTCAAGCCACCAACCATAGCCCTGCCGCTATCGTCTACTTCAGTCAATCTTGGCGAAGGCTGGTCTGATTGCCCACGCTTTTCTCAACGTCCTCAGGCGATGACCTGGTTCCGACTTTGTCTGACACATGTATAATCCTGAAGTTGGTTATTATGGTCACTCCTGGTTTATCGGCCCAACATGGTTCTGTCCTACGTCTGCAGCGCTTTCTGGTTCGAGCCCCTACGAAAGCTACCTTCAGATTCCGGATACAAACCATTCTGGTCAGGTACTTCAGCTCAAGCAGAAAACATGAGGCTGCTTAACTACTTTCATACACAGTGGATAAAGATTTCAACATATCAGAGCATACTGTTTTAATATCTGTATCTAGAAACATTAACAGAACAATAGGAACTATCATTTAATAATGAACTCAGTAACCCATCAGTTTGATTCATACTAATTAGCTGCCTCTACAGCTGTTCAAAGATACATTATGAGAATACATTTGCATACTTCATCAGACAAGTAGTAGAACAAACTGGTAGCAATAAAAATAACCGTACTTACGTAAGTTCATGGAACGTCTGAGCTGCAAACATAGGTGAATGAGCTTACTTTGGAATGACAACAATAGAGAAATGTATGTATGAAGCATGGTAGATGGTTTTTTGAAGACTTTAAGGAAGTCTGCAGTAAACCAAAGAACTAAGAAATTACGGCTAAGACTTGAATAAGAGTAGCTGAACTACAGAAGAAGCTTTGCAAATCGGCGAAAAACTTGCCAACTGGCTGCCTGTATTTGTACTTACTTAGTTTCTGGCTTGTTCCAACTGCACAAACGTTAAGTTGTTGGTAATTCATTATTAATTTGCTCAGCAACACATTTTAATCATTAACATTTGAGAGGTGAAATTTTCACTGACTGTATGTCACATGTTTTTTAGGGACCATTTTTGTATCAGAATGTTTTGTAGCACGTAAGATCGTGAACAGTAATCAAACCGAGTGAGAGCCCGCAAAAAGTTGGGGAGAGCCTTTCTAACATGTATGCTGGAGGTTGCCCTTTAAAGCTGGAGGATCTAACCGTCTGAAACTTAACTGTGTTTTCAGTAAAATGTTATGCTCATGAAGTCTAAATAGGGAAATATGTTATATATATATAAAAGAAACCACAGACTGACGGACTTTATGAAATATCGACAGATAGTACAACTTTTCCGCAACTAGCTGATCTCTAAGCTCACAATGTGATATCCGCTGATATCCAGAAACCCTAGTGCCCCGAAACAAACGCATTCATTCAAATCAGGGGACAAACTATCGAACAACTAAGAACTTGCCAGAATCAGACAGTCAAGTGGTTCGACCGCCATCAATTAAACACCATCAAACTCCTGAACCGTACGGAGAGAACAAGAACCGTGCGCAAAGAAACCAATCGGTCTATATTAGCTCGGTTAGCTCACCGGCATCGATCTTCGCAGATGACGCGAAGATCAGGAGGTCCTTTAGAAGCGAAGAGGATTCAACTGAGATTCAAGATGACCTTACATATATTGAGGAGTGAGCAGTGAAAAATGGGGGTCTAGCCACCCGACTGTCTAATTCTAGTCAGTTGGTTGTGAGTTTGTATGTCCCGTGATGATGACGATTTACACCCCCAATGGGAGTCTGCTCCCTAAGCTGCAACGGCTCTCAATGAGAAAAAGTGTACACGAACCGGAGTATTTACTCTTTGATGTGCAATTTTTTGAGTATTCCCTCGAGGGGAGTGGTGATGATGCATTGGTAAGATGCTCACGTTGATATGATTTGGCGTTCCTAATATTCTGTGTGCCATAATCAGATCACCTCTGATTCTTCTGTAACTCAGAGTGAATAATCCTAAGTGCTGGAGTATTTCTTCGTAAGATTCATTCCTCAACACTATCACCCGTTTGGTTGCTCGTCTCTCACTCGATCCAAGAGATTTATGTCTCTTTTAAGCAGAGGGAGTGCGATGACGCTGTGAACCTCCAGGTGTGGGCGCGCGTTTTTATGAAATCATTTTAAGAATAATTCTGGGGTGATAGCACCAAGTTGTTTTCGCATAAAGTGAATAGTCACATTTGCCTTGGCTGCATCCCCGATATAGTTTGGGCTTGTGTGGAGGCGTTCTGTTGTTATTCAACCTAGATCGCGCTGTGAGGAAACTTTAGGGAGCAGACTCCCATTGGAGGTGTATATCGTCATCATCTGCCCCTTGGACAAGCTGTGCTTGATGCATATCTTCAGACCTGCTAGTTGTTATCATTCCCATCTCCTCAGACCACTCAATTAATCTATCTTGCCCGTTATCTAAGTTTCCTCTCCCTTGCTTAAACTTCTGTCCTCTCTCTCAATCTTCACTACCAATTAATAAACTAAACTATCTATATATTACTAATTTCTGAAAATTTATTCACATTAGCATTAGAATTTCATCCTTATTTTCCTTATTACTCTCCACATTGCAGCTAACTGAACTCCGGTTTGGCAACGTGACAGCTGCTGGTATCCAGAAACCCTACTGCCATGAAACAAACGTTTTCATTCAAATCACGGGACATACAAACTCACAACCAACTGACTAGAATTAGACAGTCGAGTGGCTAGAGCCCCATTCATTGGACACTACAGAACACCTGGAACCGTACCGTAAGAACAAGAATCGAGCGCAAAGCAATCAATTGGTTTGAACTAGCTCGTAAAAAGATATCGGATATTGGGAACTCCCATTTGAGAACGATTATCCTGTGACAGTTAGGTGGGTTATCCAAAACGGTACGGTACATAAGGTGTCTGGCGCCGAATAAGTGGTACGTTCCAACCCATTTGATCAAAATAGTGCCGTCGGGAATCACAGCACTTTTTCTGGGAGCTTTATATAGTATCATAGGGTTATTGTTGGTAACCACTGCGAGTATGTTAACGGTTACAGTTGCAATTCAGGCTTAAATCAGATGCCCTGTTGTGAATTTGGAGAAAACATAGTTCGTCACATAATCGGTGACTTTTTTAGTGTATGACGATACCAACCGAGGAAAACCTTACTTTCTTCACCTTGAGCTTTGCTGCGCCCTACCTATTATTTTCCTAAACAATTTTTCTCATGTTAGCATTTACGTACTCTTTTCTTGTTTATTTGGGGACTTAAAACTTGGAACAAAAGTTTGTAGACGAGAGCACCTACTTTGCAACATCAGTAATTAGCAGTGCTATCCATTTTTTTCACAACACGTCATTAAATATACCTATAACTATTCTTCACTCAGTTAATGATTTTGTCAGCTAAACTAATCCAACCCTTCATAAAACAATACCACAAAGTACCTAAATGCTCGCCTCTTGTAACCTTGCACCTAGCTCTAGGTATGATTTCCGGTTAGATAAAACTGTTGTCTGGAAGAGAGATAACCCTTATTTAACCAAGGTGATAACCCTGACCTTATGTTTAACCGTCCGAAAGTATAATACTAATTATCCTGATATTAGATATAATGATCTTTCAAAAGGGCTTAGTAATGGGTTGAAAAGTATACGCTCAATCTACACCACATACTTCAATGTTCAACCGAGCAACCTGGATTCAGATTGGTATACTTCAGCATACTACTCCACAACATAGCATGTTGGAACCTTCCCACCAGTGTTGTTTGGAAGGGTGTATTCAATGACGTGAACGTTTACCTATCCGTCACCAGCACTACTAGCGTTGAGTGTAGTATACTGATTGCATACGCTGTCGCACCTGTAGTTTACTTTTTTGATAATACTACCTAGTGCTATGAATTTCTACTTGAAAGCACAGGATACTCTCTGGACTGAACTAACACTCTGGACTACAAATCTAAAGCGAGCACGGAGCTGCAATTAGTGCAGTATAAAACATTAACCAGCAAGAATCTCGAGGTTAAGTTCCTCTATAATCAGTTTTTTAGCGTGAAAAAAGGGAATGGACTGCGAAATACGCTAGATCAATTATGTTAAGAGAAGAGGAGGGACTAAAAGGAAAATTCAGTTTAAATTTGCATCAGACAAGGAAGTACTCTCTCTATAAAATGCAACAATAATCAGCATAGGATTAGATGAGAACCATATATCAGGATAACTTCTTTAATTTCGAAATTTTAGGGATAGATCTGCTTTCCATAAAGTACTATCTAAAATAATTAACTTCGGGAAAATGCCATAGCTCCTGAAAAGACTAGTTATCATTATAACCATAGCCTTAATTGCTACTAATTTAAAGTCTGAATACCTGTGACACTACGGCTTTATAGAGTTTCCTCCGATGTGATTATCACTTTTTTCATAAATCCCTTAAACCTGTCGAGCCAACTATCGATTGTCATTTCATGGATTATAAAAATCATCACAAACCTTAGGACTGTGTTGTACTTATATGTAAATCACAACAGGTAAAACGAAGCGTTGATATCCAAAGACGTCAAGACAACTGTTCAGTTAATTAGTAACGAACTCGTATTTTTTAGATGGCTGAACTATTTTTAGACCCATCTATTCGATCCTGGGTGTTCCTTCCTCTTGTAATAATTACTTTCCTCTTTGGGGTTTTACGTCACTATATGACTATTATGTTTACCAGTGAGAAAAAGGGTGAACTTGAGAGTATCGGTGATAGGTAAAGTCGTTAGTTCGATTTTTTACTGTTTTAGTCATGCTCTAATCCGCAGCAGACTTTTACGTGAAAATGGGAAATTCTTGCCAACCAAAGTAAGACATATAGATGATTAGTTAGGTACTATAGGCTTTCAAAATGCGCAAATATTTCTTCAACGACAAAGAGCATGGGTTTTTCAAAACTCAAAAGCGAGAAAGTCCAATGAATAATCCAATGGCTGGTAAGTCTAATATACTATAACCAACTTTCCTACAGACCCTTCAATGGCAACTGAGATGCTTAGAAGCAATGCGCTGAATATGGTTCCAATGATTGTTATTGGCAGCTGGATCAACTGGGCTTTCTCAGGATTCTTGACCACTAAAGTACCATTCCCACTCACTTATCGATTTAAACCTATGCTTCAAAGGGGGTGTGAGTCGCTCACTTCTCTGGATGCATCTTGGTAAATTTTCGTTTAATAGTTAAACTGGCTTTAGGGTTAGCTCTGCATCTTGGTATTTTTTGAACATATTTGGCCTCAGGAGTATGTATGGCCTAGTACTTGGTTCAGACAACGCAGCTGACAACTCCATGGTCTTGTCAGATCACCAAGTACCTTCACCTCAAGCTCCACAGGATATGCAAAAGGCATTCAAGGCAGAATGGGAAGCATTGGAGGTAGTTGATCATCAGTGGGCTTTAGCAGACTGTGAAACAAGACTACTGGAGAGGCTATCTTAATATGTTCGATTTTTCTTTGTAAAGTGTAATTGTACTTTGTTTTTCGAAAGTTTTTTTTGTAAAAAAGTGGACAAAATATCATCGCTTAAGTACATGAGTGTATTTTTAGGAAACAATTTAAGAACTTCTGATAAAGTTTTCATGTATGTAAAAGTGTGCACAAGATCTTGGATAAATGCGTTGAGGAAAAAATATAATTTACAAAGAAATACTGCTTAATAGTTATTAGCAAGTGAAGCTCTTGGGACTTAATACGACTTAGGCAATAAAATGTCACTAAAAAAGACAAATTAATTCGGTACAAAAAACTGGAGATCAGATTAACAAAGTATTAAAACAGATTCTTTTCGGAATTCGGTTCCAAAATAATTAAAATAGGATCTCTTCTATGCAACGGGTATTAGCGCCTAAGAAGAAAAGACAAAAACTATAAATCGAAAACCCCAATAAGACGAAAAAACTAAAAACAAAGTAAATGATAAGTCGTAAGTTTGTAGAAATCCCAGTCCATATTAACAGATTAGCTACGTGTAAAGTTTATAAATGTAACAACACAATCCTTACCCGCTTAGTTTAAAGTAATAAGAACCAAAATTCTTAAATAAGGAATTATCACATCTAGCCCCCGACCTGGCTACATCAGGTTTCCTTGCCAACTTTACTGAATGATTAATTAATATTCTTTGAACATCAAACGCAGGTGAAGCCTGTTTACTCACTTGACGTAGTTGATACCAGTTTTTCAGTCAAACATAATATTCGGCTTTACTGAACAGCAGTAATGACCTTTCAGTCTATTTTATTTCCTATTCTGGGAAGATATGTTTATATGAACTTCGAAGCTGCAGCAACAAACTGTACAGAGAAAGGTGGACTCTCAATTTTTAATTTAACTGTAAGGTTTTTAAACCCAATGAAAACTAGTCCAAGATAGTCGCTAACAATTCACTGCAAATAATTAGGCCTAATTTTCTGCATTAGTTTCAATTAGAAATCATTAAGCTTAATTTATTTTCGAGATCTGCGTAGTTAAGCAATTTTATGTATATGACAAGAGTATGTTTTTGTATTCTCTTTCCAACAAGTGACTGGAAAACAACATTTGGAACTAGTATAAAGGTATGTGACCCAGCTATTAAAATGTTTAAATGACATGAAACAGTAGAGATATTAGTAGGAGATAGATGATTTTATCTTTTTCCAAAAGGCGTAAAATTGGATTGCGATGTATGGCAAAGAAGCAAATACGGTGAAAAATTTTTATACCTATTCAGTAAACAAGTAACCTAGAACTTCTCAATATACTTACTTCTGTTTTGGAGTCACTTGAGACGGTGAGTTTGAGCTGGACTGAGACATTGGAGTTAAGAGCTTCTGTTTGGCAACTATCGCACTTATTCTCGAGGATGGCCTCCTCGACAGGGTATCCGGAAGGTTTGTACGTTTAGTAGTTCTCAGTTTCAATGAACTTCTTGTTTTACTTCTGAGAAGTCTTTTATTAGCAGAATGTGAGGATTTTTCTGGATTGCTGGTAAGCTTCTGAGAATTTTCTGAAGTTTCTGGATTTTTCGATCTTAATGAAACATTTTGGTCGTTTGTATGGGATGATGTGGAAGATTTAATATTCTTTTTGGGATTTTCATTGGGACAAGGTACCTCCGTAGGTTGGAATTGATTTAGCTTTGCTGGATTAGATTTCGCGGTTCGTTTAACTTTGACGGCGGACAATTCTTGACCTGTATCCTTCACCCGCAGTGAGGTTTTGTTTGAGGATATTTTATTAACTTTTAGAACGCAATCAAGTGTGGATTGTTTTTTGTTCGAATTTGAGTCCGGTAATTTACTAACCCGTGGGCGCTTAAGATTTTCTGGTGAAGTTGAGTTTTGACGCTTTTTTTTATGTATAGATCCGTTGGAGGAAGATAACCTCACTTCCTGTGTTTCCGTACTAGCATCGTCACAAAATTTATGATTAGTTTTTGAAGATGAAATGTCACTACTGGTAGATCCAGTACAAACGGGTATGATCTGTTCCTGACCCATGATTTTATCTCGTGTATCTGACAGAGAGCTATCATTATTGTCCATGCTTTCATGTTCTGGTAGATCATCGATGTCATCAACTGATTTAGTGTTGGAATCCACTTCATGTGTCTCCTTTTTCTTAAGATTGGCTATTTCTTTTGCTTTTTTCCTACAAAAGAAGCATTTTCAATTCAATAAAAGAATATAAAACACAATGGGAAACAGGATAATCAGTAAAGAAATGGTATATGGATAGTAGATCCGGAGTTCAGTAAGCTCTTTGTATGTGACCGAAAGAATGGTTATATTTTAGTACATTAAAAGGTAATAAACCAACGCACTGATGGATCTAGCATTTCATGATCAATTTAATATAACAATAAAGAATTCGAGTGAATATTGAAAACTTAGATAATTAAGTATTCAATCGTAAACGTATTAGTTTGATTTACAGTGCGAAATCTATATACTTGAGTGGAACCCATTTCTATTGTTAGTTCTTATGATAAGTACTTAACTGTTCCTACGAATGAAAAAATCAACGTAGTTCAGACGGAAGTTTTAATTCGATCACAATTGGATAATCAATAGGTTTCAAAGATTTCCAACAAAACTCCTAATTGTTTCGGAGCTTTGAAGAAATGAGAAATTCAGAAGTAAACTTTCGGTGTTTTATCTACGACTGTAGTTCTACATCCTTTACCACAACATACTCCTAACTAATAAACTGTTGGTATTGGAACAAATACTTCCATTTCGGCAATAATCGGGAACCGATTTGAGTAGCTAAAAGCCTAGTGAGTAAGAAGTGTAAAAACGGAAATCGACAAACAAGTAAGAAACATTTAAAGCTATTAGACAGTTTCATCTCCATGAAAAATGTTCATATGACGGAACTACATTATTATTTTAACCATGACCGATCATAAATATGGTGTGAAAGTGATTAATGAAATACCTTGACTTTGATGTAACGCCTTTGGATTTTACAAGCTCAGGAGGGATCAACCCTTCTTTAAATGCTTTTGTATGTTTGTTAGGAGTGAACTGTAAGATTGGTTGGGGTTTATTCTTGATGGACATTTCCAAAGGTGTGTTTATAATGTCTGTACCAGTTTGCGTTCCACTTTCTAAACCGATATTCAACAATTGCTTAAAGTCAGGATTACGAAAATCACTAGGTGCAGAAGTAAAAAGAGTTTTAGGTAGCTTGACATCCACTGGATATTCTTTAATTGTTGGGTTAATACAACGCGATAATAACAGACCCAAAGAAATATCACATACAGTATACATTTTCTGTTGAATAAATAATAGGAAAGCAAAAAAAAGACAGTAAAGCAGTTTAAACTGAGAGAAATACAAAAAATTCTTCTTTATATCTACTCCTACTGTGATCGCAATACAACATGCGACTTCAGTCAGCCTATCGAAAGGTATAGCAAAATTTTAATTGACTATGGTTTTTGAAGCACGTTCAGTTTTTCACGAAAGTCCAAACATACGACTAAAGAGGTGCACAATTAATAAACACATTTTAAATACTTGTGCATAGATAGTAAGAGAAAAATAATTTATAATCAAACCTAAACAGAATGCAACATGTATGGTTGATTTTACTGTTAGTCACGAGGTATATGGTAACATTAATGTCCAAAAAATATGAGTATGCCAATAAGTTGATAGATTACCTATGTTAAACATTTAGTTGTAATGGAAAGTTTCCAGCAATAACTAGGGACTGTTACTGATATATGAGTAATTCTAATATGAAATTGATAGAGAATGATTGATAATATTTAGATTTAAAATAAATCTCAAAAGATTATGAATATGTCATTGATCGTAATCCACATTTACTTGATAATTGCGAAACTGAGGAAAAAAATTAAATACTACTCAGTTTCTATGGTTATAAATGTTAAACTCAGAAAAATGAGGTAAGATGAAGGCTATATAAAGTTACAGCAGATCTAGATACCATTTCTATGAGATTGATAGTCAATAAATTTTAGGATTGATGATACGTTTGACTACAGTAATAGTCATTTTTCACTTGATATTCAGTTCAAATGAAAACAATGTGTTTAAGAAGCTTATGATTGTATATAAATATATATAACCGGATCACCACGTTAAGGTAGGAGCCATAGTTGAGAATAACTCGCTATACAATAATTAGTCTGTGTTAAAAAAATGAGCCTTAATGTGTGTCGTTTTGCTTTCCTTTGTTTACGCTATTTACAACACTGATAATATTGCATTTTCTAATCATGCGTATAAGTGTTGAATGTTTTTTGATCGATACCTTTTAAACATATTTAATTGTATTATGTTAACAATTATTTAAACACCACGATATCAATTGCAGATGATATTTCCATACAGTTAATTCCTAATGATAGTAATTATTCAACTGACTCAATATAGAATGACAAACAGTCTACTGTGTTGGTTCGACAAGTACTAATTCTCTACACTTGGAATTAATTCTAAGCGAACTTAAAATGAACATCAACAGTGGTAATCTCTATTGTTTATATACCTTCAATAAAAAACTCGTTGTGTAACAACATTGTTTACAACATGAAAAGCATCTTGAAAGTGAAAATATAAATTCAACTAAATAATACAAGAAGAAAAAAGTTTTAATAGCATAAACTTTTTAAAAAAATCACCTCATTAACCAGACTATCATCAGGATGAAGGGCATCTCGTGCATATTTGATTTTCTCAATAATTTTTCGTAGAAAACTGAAATTTTCACCATGAGACATAATAGGTTCCATTATGAACCATAAAGCACTACATAACATATGTAAAAAAAAATGTTTTAGAAACAAAGAATGTTGATTAGTTTTATTTGGCTATTTATTGAATTGATGAATTTTACATTGTTCATAATTCGATGAGAAATGATTATACGATACAATAGTTTTAGATTAAGTTGATTGCATAGAAAAACAAAAAGAACACACCTTTTAATTTTATTAAGTATTTCTACATCATCCAGTTTAGTCCATTTGGAATCATGAGAGAGTAGGTAAATCGTATACGGCAATACATAGTCGGGTAACAGACCAAATAAAAACTCTACAAAGATGATAAGAATAATAATTAACTTATTAAAAATACTATTTATTATACATAAATTCTAATCAACTAATTTTCTCTTGTCTCAGCCTGTCTATTGCAACTCTGGTAAGTTCTTGAAGCCACCAACTCTGAATATGAGGCAGAAACTGTTGAATCTAGCAACCTTCAACATCGATTCAATGATGAAAACAAACTATATAGCTATTATTCATTGTTAATGAGAGCCAACAAGACTGATGCTACTTTTGAAGTACGTCATTTGAACACGTAACTCATATATGGAAAAATATTAGACAAATTTATGACAAACCTTGAGATAAAAATTGCATAAAAGAGAAATACAGTGCAAGAACGAGGATATAGTTGACTAACACGAATTATTTACCGATTATTTCAAGTATACACATTTTAGGGAACGAAACATTACCACAACAACACGTAGGAAATCAAAACAGAGAAACATAATAATAAGCCATTTCTGACACACAAATAACTCCCGTAATCTATTGACGTATTCTGCTCATTTATGTGCTTATTGATTATTTCTATTTCTTTTAAATCAGCATAACAATAAAAGTTGATCTTACAAATAGTTTGGCCTTAATAACTTACATGCGATTATGCAGTAAGTAGTTTCATACGAATTAAGGTTCAATCACGATTCTACTCTTACTTATTTTACTACATTCATTCTTCTGTACACTGATACACAAGTAACTTGTTTAGTCAGAAGTGCACATATCTATTTTTGTGTTTTGTATAGTTGAAGGATAAATTAGATCACCAAAGTCGACATACCAGTAAAAAGGCTTTGATTTCGAGACTAGTTTGCTTTAAACATTGTATCTACCTAATTTTAGTAGTGTACAATATTAATTTCGACACTCTTTGCGCAGAAGTTACATGTAGATAGAGAAACCAACAGAAATATCAAGAGCTTATTTGATCGGTTAGAAAGTTATTCAGTTATAAAAAACCTTAGTGCGAACCATCCAATGGTTCACAGATGAATCGCTCTATCAAGTGATCAGCCTGTTTTTCTGAATATAACTATTGAAATATGAGCTGTAGAAAATCAAACACAAAAATGTTAAATGAAGAAAAGTACAAAAAATATACTTACTGCCATCACGGAAATACGAAGGATGTTTGTTTAAGAATGCTCGACGCCGCTGAATGTTTGCAATAAAAAGTTGCTTTGCACGTTGTTTAAATGCAAGTTCTGACACGTTAGCAGAATGTGCGAAAATAGCCATGTATTCAAGAGGAAGACTCAATTTATATAAACCCTTATTGAGTTTAGTCAGAAAATGAGAACGCACTTGAGGACATGGATCCTTTAAAGGAACAAAGTATGGAAAATATTAGTTGAAATTCAATTGAAAATAAATAAAAACAAACAAACAAAAGTAAGCACGACAATCGAAATAAACTATATTGCAAAGTTCATTGTGTGGTGCGAGCTACGTATAAGTAGTATATGACGTGAGTGTCAACGTAATGTCTGGCAGCAGAGGATGGGGGTAGATCAAGAAAGGAAGAGTTAGAACGCAATGGAATTTATATGAAACGCATGAATAGTGACAATGGATTGATGTTTTGCAACAGGAACAGTCCAGTTCGATATAATGAACTGATATTTTGCAAATGAACGATTTACGATATGGTTTTCCGATTTTACTGAGTAACTCTGTAATTTCGCTGAATACAATTCGGTTGCCCCACCTGTGTTCTCGATCACTACAATTGTAGTATAGTCTTTTAATTTTGTGAACTCAGTCAGTACTATGGATTTGAAAAGATAGCCAACAAGTTCATTTCAGTCTTACAAGGAATTAATCCTTAAACAAAGTTTAATGAGAACATTCCAGTGATGTATGTATATATGCGTATTGAAATTTTTCAGGAAATCATACATAATATGAAGGTTCCAAGTATTCCTAATTGATAAGAGTTAAAAATTGGAAAATATAGGTCTAGAGAATAACGATGTTTTTGACAAAACACATACTTAAAATACCCTCATTTCAACATTATTATACGATTAATGGCAATAAAAAAAATCAAAGCTCTTCATTCTAGAAAAACTTACACAAAGAATATAACTCATTGACAAATACCAGCCAATTTCGATACATTCAACATAATCTTGAGAATGTGCAAGTTTTAACCAAGATGTAGCGGCAACTAAGCGTAACCTAGACATTTCACCGTATCTAAATGTAATAAACATAAGTGAAAGTATATATTTTGACAACTGAAATCATTAAAAGTTAGACAAAATTTGCTACTAAGTATAGTTTCAATTCTATTTGTCGAAGTATAAAATAGTTACATTATCAGACTTAAGGTCCTTAAACGCTCAAATACACTGAGCAATGCATAATTTTGAAAAAATATGTCATCGGGCAGTCGTGACAGGTAGTATCAGGAAATATACGGATTGCCTATCATAGAGAATACCGTAAACACAGTTGAATCCGTGAATTACTATCAAAGTTATATAACAGTAGTCAATCAATTATAGAATCCAAACGATATCTTCCACTTAAAAAAACATTGATGTTTCATATTGTCTTCACCAGCTTCAAAGATAATTTGTAGGTGTGCGTTCATCTTACGAAAGCCAGTATGGTGAAGATTAATATCAAGTTTTTTGCAGTAGACAACTAGAACACATTTATCTTAGAATTCACTTTTAGATTAGTTGAAAACTATTTCCTAACAATGAAAACTCAATAAAAATCGTATTTCTTACATTTCTATAATAGAAATTATGGTTATCTTTCAAAACTGGTTGAAAATGAATTTAAAGAAATTATTTAGTATTATATAGATTAAAAAAGTGTGTGAAAATAGCTAGACACTTAACAATTTCGAGAACCTCCAATACTCTGCTTAGAATCCTATTACGGTTCCTGCCAGTCCTGAAGCCGGGTAAAGAAAGTGCGTTGGGCACGGAAGTTAGCAACTTCATTCTATAAAAAAAGAACATTCGTAAAAATACGCTAACTAGAGGAACTCTACACCTAAAACCCCAGTAGAAAGTAATTTTTCATGAATAGTTTCGAGACATTAACTTCTAAACCTAATTTTTAGTACATCAGAATATAACTTCATTTCAATAATACTGTGAATGTTCCCTATTTCAGTGCTTGTGACGATTACTAAATATCAAAACTTACGTTAGTTTACCACCTTTTGTCAAATCGCCATCATGGATAATTATACGATAAAGAAGTCGAATAATAACTTGAACAACAGGTTTCACTTCATTTTTCAAACCTACCAACCAATTCGTTATTAGTTTAATGGCTGAAATCTAGAAGATAAAACAGGAATAAACTGTTAGCCTCATTAAAAACTTACTTGTTTATGAAATATAATGATGTTACACAAATACAATAGAATTTAAATTCAAGTTAGTATTTCTCATTCTATAAAATAATGTTTACTACACTGTACATTCAAATTATCCAAAAGTAGCTAGGATTCTTAAAGGTGTCTAAAGCAATGAAAGTAGGTAAAAGTGGTTGATAAACAAGGCATCAGACAGGTGTTCAGAGTAAGCAAAGCAAAATTTTATGGATAAGAAATATCAAGTGATACACAGCAAATAATGTTTTAGTAAAATAATATCAGAAATGTTTGCGATTTGAAAAAAGGATATTTTCATCTCAATAAATATCCTGCTAGATAACATAAATCTTCTCATCACAAAATCCATAAACAAACTAGAACTTTAAAATTCCAGAGGAAAACTAAATAATTACTAGATCATGTCATAAAAGATGTCTGCATAAATCAATTAAGTTTGAACAATCGACAATAACTAACATATGAGTAAGTGTTCATCAAAACAAATGATGTCACTAAAACTAAATAAACACAATTTCAAATGTAACTTTCGGATCACTGAAAGTGAATTTTAGTTAGTCACACAGAAGTAAAAGAAAAATAGGATTAAAATTATTATTTTCTTTAATATCACGATGATCGTTTGGATCTAGATTGTCAAAGAAAGGAAGATCGGATGAATCAAAAAATTTCTCGAAAAAAATCTGATGACCTTGAAGGTGGGTTAAACAACAAATCCAGACATGACGATCAGACAGTGAATTGTAAATAAAAGACATGTGTATATGTATCTAAGGTGACTCATTGCATGAACAACTGTACAGATTTAAATCTTATTCTGAATGATTTACACAACCTTTTGGTCTAACATGTGTCAATTAAGTCATTCCTGTTCAATATGATTACTTACTTAGTTACGCCTATTACCCCTAGTGGAGCATCAACCGCCGACCAGCATTCTCTAACCTACTCTGTCTTGGGCCTTCCTTTGTAGTTCTGTCCAATTTTCTTCGTCAAATGCGACTAGGCTGATGTATGTTGTGTTGTATCGGAGAATCTTGCTTTTTCCTTTGTGTATGTTGAGACCTACTGCTTCTGAGGCTGCTGCCAAACTGGTCGTCCTCTCTTGCATTTGCGGTTTCGTACGCGATAGAAAAGCCAGATCATCTGCGAAGTCTGGGTCTTCCAGCTGCATCCTAGCTGTACACTGTATTGGCACTTAGTTCTCCCATCAGAATGGTTAAGTCCTTTGTCGGGCATATCTCGACGATTGACTGCAGTCTCTCGTAGAATTGATGTTTAACGTCTTTATAGTTATCGTTGTTAGGCGCACAGCTCTGGATGATGTTTATTGCAATCCCCTGTTCCTTTGTTTAGAAGGATGCTTTGATGATCCTGGGTCCATGAGATTGCCACCCTACCAGTGCTTTTCATGTTTGCTTGGATAGCATCAATGCAACTCCTTGTGTATGCGGAGCATTTTCTTGTTTACGACCGGAGTACAGCAGCATCTTTTCTGAAGCTAGTCTTTGTTGTCCAACTTGTGTTCAATGTGTTTCATTGATTCCAAGCAAAACCAGAATGTATCTTTTCATTTCTGTAGCAAATTAAATTACTCTCCCGGTCTCCCAAAATATACGGATATTCCATCTACGTAAATTAGTGATTGCTCTGGTTGTGAGAAATGGCATCAGTCTCGTGGCTTCCGAAAAAACTCGACTTTCATCATGAGACGTCATAACTCTCCGAATTGAAGAACTTCTAACTTCCAGGACAGAGTTTAAATGGTTTGAATTATTTTCTCTGGTTAGCGTTTCTAAAGCGAGTTAGTTCAACGTCACCAATCCCATGCCCAACACCCCCCCTTTATCCGGGCTTGGGGCCAGCAGTAGCCCCAGAAAAGCTAAAAGCTCCATAATATACATATATACTCGGAATTTTTATATTCATCAGAAGCATCAGAAATTTACTTCGATCATAGAGTTGAAGGAAATAAATGTTTATCAATAATTCGGAAACGCTACATCAAGTTAGGGGTTAAAGAACTAGACTCTTACCAAGGTCCCAGGTTAGAAACACATTCCACTTACTTCGATTCAAGCAGTCATGGGGTTGTATAAACCCTCATATAAAAAATATGCTCGAAATTGAGTAAATAAACCTGTATTTAATAAATGGGTGGCATTATTATTACTTATAACTGATTTCAAAATATGAAAGGTTCATGGATTTCGATCTGTTTAGTAGTAGCCAATGAAACTTATATAGGATTTAGGAAATATAAAAAAAACTCAAACGTGTTTACCTTTGCTCTTGTTAAATTACTGATTAAACTGTCAGGTAACCAGGAACTGAGGGTATTGCATTCAGCCTTGGGTTGATTTGATAAGTTTTTTGATGAAATATTTTTCATTTGTGTTTTGTCTTTTTCTTGTTCTTGATTCGGCAGATCATCTGGTTCAATTGTCAATACTTGTTGTACCAAAGATTTTGTGATCAAAGTTTTAATATCTTCGTTGTAAACATCAGGAAATAATAAAGCAATATGACTTAATGAAGTGAGGCAAGCTATGTAATCGTTGGATAGAATAGGACATGAAATACAAGCCTAATAATGAAAGGAAATTTAGAAACAAAATAATATTAAATATTAGCAATGGCATCTTTTGAAAAGCGGGTTAGTTTTTAGTTGGTAAACTTTTCAATACTGTGAATGATCATTTCTGTTAACATGACTGACATTAAACCAATTGTAGTTTTATTTTAGTACCCTAAGGATCAATTTTGAAGGTGTGACCATTAATTATTAATGGAATGATAATCGGTTTAAACGTTGATGAAATATGCGGTCAATTTCTCCATGGGCAAACACACAATATGATTAGAAATAAATCACCTGTGACAGTGACCGCAACTCCGCCAGTAGAACCTTCAGGGCTACTGCCGGTCCCAAGCCCGGGTAAAGGAGGAGGGTTGGACATGGGGTTGGCGACCCCATTCCGTCAAAAACTAACTTGCCAAAAAACGCTAACCAGAAAAAATAATTCAAACCATTTTAACTCTGCCCTGGGAGTTGGAGGAAGAATTATCACGTCGCGTGATGAAAGCCGAGTTCCCTCGGAAGTCACGGGGCTGATGCCTCTTCTGACAACCAGAGCAACCATTTTTTTAGGTACATGGAACGTTCGTACATTGTGGGAGACTGGAAGACTATTTCAAGTTGCGGCAGAAATGAAAAGATACAACCTCGAGGTGCTCGGCATCAGTGAAACGCATTGGACACAGGTAGGACAACTGAGACTAGCTTCAGGGGAACTGCTGTTATACTCTGGTCATGAAGAGGAAAACGCTTCACATACACAAGGAGTTGCACTGATGCTGTCCAAACATGCACAAAAGGCACTAATAGGATGGGAATCTCATGGACCGAGGATCATTAAAGCATCCTTCAAAACAAAGAAAGAGGACATTACAATGAACGTCATCCAATGTTATGCACCTACCAACGACTACAATGACGACGTTAAAGATCAATTCTACGAAAGGCTGCAGTCAATCGTCGAGAAATGTTCACCAAAGGATTTGACGATTCTTATGGGAGACCTGAATGCCAAGGTTGGAATGGACAACACTGGATATGAAGACATCATGGGACGACATGGACTGGGAGAAAGAAACGAAAATGGTGAGAGATTTGCAAACCTATGTGCCTTCAACAAACTGGTCATCGGTGGCACAATATTCCCGCACAAACGCATACACAAAGCTACATGGATTTCACCGGACCACACTACTCAAAACCAAATTGACCATATCTGTATCAACAAAACGTTCAGAAGGACTATGGAGGATGTGAGAACCAGGAGAGGAGCTGATATAGCCTCAGATCACCATTTGTTAATCGCCAAAATGAAACTGAAACTAAAGAAGCACTGGACAACGGGACAGACAACATCACAGAAGTTTAATACGGCCTTTCTTCGGGATACTGTAAAGCTCAACGAATTCAAGATAGCCCTCACCAATAGGTTCCAGGCCTTTCAGGATCTACACAATGGAGAGGACGCAACATTGGAGAACAATTGGAAAGGGATTAAGGAGGCAATCACTTCAACATGTCACGAAGTTTTGGGTCACAAGAAGTACCATCACAAGGAATGGATCTCTGTTGATACTCTCGCAAAAATTGAAGAAAGGCGGAACAAGAAGGCAGTAATCAATGTCAGCCGAACAAGAGCGGAGAAAGTTACCACACAAGCTGCATACACAGAAGCAAACAGGGAAGTGAAGAAGAGCATCAGAGCTGACAAACGAAAATATGTGGATTATCTAGCAATGACGGCGGAAAAGGCTGCAAGAGAAGGAAACATGAGACAGTTGTACGAAACAACAAAGAAGCTGGCCGGAAACTATCGTAAACCAGAACGACCAGTGAAAAGTAAGGAAGGCAAAGTAATCAGCAACACTGAACAACAGCGAAATAGGTGGGTAGAGCACTTTAAGGAACTATTGAATCGACCAGCTCCACTGAACACACCCAACATCGACGCAGCATCCACGGACCTCCCAATTAACATTGGCGCACCTACGATTGAGGAGATCAGTATGGCCATCAGACAAATCAAGAGCGGCAAAGCAGCAGGACCAGACAACATTCCAGCAGAGGCAATGAAAGCAGATGTAGAAGCAACTGCGAAAATATTTCACATCCTCTTCAAGATTTGGGATGATGAACAAGTACCATCAGATCGGAAAGAAGGATACCTCATCAAAATACCGAAGAAAGGCGATCTCAGCAAGTGTGAGAACTACACAGGCATCACTCTTCTTTCAATACCAGGCAAAGTCTTCAACAGGGTGTTGTTAAACAGAATGAAGGACTTCGTAGAAACCCAACTTCGAGATCAACAGGCCGGATTTCGTAAGGATCGATCGTGTACTGACCGAATTGCTACATTACGGATCATTGTGGAACAATCAATTGAATGGAACTCACCACTCTACATCAACTTCATCGACTACGAGAAAGCATTTGATAGCGTGGATAGGAAAACACTGTGGAGGCTTCTTCGACACTACGGGGTGCCTGAGAAGATAGTTAACATCATACGGAATTCTTATGATGGATTCAACTGCAAAATCGTACACGAAGGACAGCTAACAGACTCGTTCGAGGTGAAGACCGGTGTCAGGCAAGGTTGCTTACTCTCACCCTTTCTCTTTCTCCTGGTCATCGACTGGATTATGAAAACGTCAACATCTGGAGGGAAGCACGGTATCAACTGGACAGTTAGGACGCAGCTGAAAGATATGGACTTCGCAGATGACTTGGCTCTTCTATCGCACACGCAACAACAAATGCAAAAGAAGACGAGCAGTGTAGCAGCAGCCTCTGCAGCAGTAGGTCTCAAAATACATAAAGGAAAAAGCAAAATTCTCCGATGCAACACAACATGCACCAACCAAATCACACTTGATGGAGATGCCTTGGAGGACGTCAACACCTTTACATATCTTGGCAGCATCATCGACAACCATGGTGGATCCGATGCAGATGTGAGGGCACGGATTGGCAAAGCAAGGGCTGCATTTCTACTATTGAACAATATCTGGAACTCCAAACAACTTTCAACCAAAACCAAAATCAGGATTTTCAATACAAATGTCAAGACAGTTCTACTGTATGGAGCGGAAACTGGGAGAACTACCAAAGCCATCATCGAGAAGATACAAGTGTTTATTAACAGCTGTCTACGCAAAATACTACGTATTCGTTGGCCAGACACCATCAGCAACAACGAACTGTGGGAGAGAACAAACCAGATTCCAGTGGATGAGGAAATCAGGAAGAAGCGGTGGAAGTGGATAGGACACACATTGCGGAAAGCACCTAACTGCGTCACGAGACAAGCCCTCACATGGAACCTTCAAGGCAAAGGAAAAGAGGAAGGCCAAAGAATACATTACGCCGAGAAATAGAGAAAGATATGAGGGGAATGAACAAACATTGGACAGAACTGGAGAGGGAAGCCCAGGACAGAGTTGGTTGGAGAAAACTGGTGGGCGGCCTATGCTCCATTGGGGGTAACAGGCGTAAGTAAGTAAGTAAGACAGTGACCGCATTGAAACTAGAACTTGCAGTAGTTATAGCATGATTTGCTCGAGCTCATTGTTATCAAAATGTTCGTCACCGTATAAATTATTGGCTTTTATATGAATGAATGTTGAACCCATACTAACTAGTAAGATTACTTCTAGAACTATCAATAATATTTGACAACAGGTTTGACTAATGCAAGGAGGGAAGCTGTGAACGAATTTTTATTAATGTCTGAATGGGTGGGTTTACTAAGCTAAAATCACATTTGGTTTAATCTTAGGCCTAAATTTAAAATTATTATGCAACTAGAATCTCATCCACAGTGATCTTTTTAGAATGCTCGCATACATGTTTACAATCTTCAAAAAGAAGAAAATCCTAAATTCTTACCTATTATCAATTTTCTAAATCTGAAATTTCATTAAAGCTCCATTCTGTATGTCATGCAATGAGGACGAAAGTTAGATAAATAGTTAACATTTACAAATAACTTCAAAGTGAAAAATGGATGAATTTATCAAATTCAGAAATCTCTTTCTTATTGTTGACGGGTAATATAGATTCAGAGAAAAAAGAGGCGAAATCATACTTAAGATGAATGTCCAAGAATATGTTTACGACAGTTGATGGAGGAATAAATACCGAACAGTTATGTTACTAGAAATATTTCAAACATAATATCAGTTATTAATTGAGGGCTGGGGTAGGTTGTATCATACATAGAAATATGTTTAATTTTAAACAGTTAGTATTGCCAATACACCCAAAATTACTGTATGGAGTGAATCAACTAGAAAATAAGCTTTAATTTTATTCACAGGAAGGGAATTTTTCTTCAGACATTAGAAAAAAAAATGAAATCAATTGTTTTACTATTTCGACAATAAAATCAATACAATTACTTAACCTGAACAATATCATTGAGGATTTCATCAATGTTCGATTTTAAAGCAGATAATCTTTTTACGTCATTAGTTAAATGATCACTTATTGTAGATGTATTAGGTTCCTCATCCAAATCTATATCATCATTTGAATTAGGTTTACTCTTTGAATTCAATAACTGACGTACAACGTTGTACAAACAAAACAGTATACGTATTGACAGCTTGGAACGACGGCGTTCACGACGCCAAATAACACCACTATATGAAACATTTTCAGTATTTAATTTGGATGAAGGAATTTTCGCTGCATGTTTTGTCACTTTTCGATTATCTAAATATTAAAGTTATATGTAAGAAAAAAAAGTCAAATTTATTATTATTATGATTATTATTTCTTCGATAATTAAAACGACAATTGTAGGTTAGAAAATAGAAATAAATGAGCCAAATTTAAAAGATTAATCGGGAATTGTGAACAGAATCATCAAGATTAAACAGAAAATAAAAATGTAAATAAACCTACTTTTTATAGACTTTTCTGTGACTTCTCTATCGTGACATGATTCCACAGAAGTGCAAGTGATTCCTGTACAGCAAAAACGACGTAAAATTGGTAGTAATTCTTCTGAACGTTCACTTAACTGAGCGTAAATATTAAGAGTTTCTTGGTCAGTGATATTTTGAAGGGGTTCAGTTAAATCAGTATTATTAAATATACCACTTGGACCTCCACCAAGTACACAACACAAGATCTGTAAAAAAAAGATGAAAAATCTTATCATGAAGGCATAGGGTAAACGTGAAAATACAACACAGTAAAGATAATCAAACAGGTAATATTTAAAACATGGAAATGTTAGATGAAAACAAGATATTTCATTATCAAGTTAGTAACAGTTCTGATAAGCAAATTACGCATATGTTAGGACGAGTTATTTATTATAGAGAGAGATTATTCATGGGACAAAAAATAAGAATATACTTCTGACTGATTAGAAATTAACTTAATGCCAAACTTCAATTATATGAAAAGTACATGGTTTGAGAAACAGATAGACAGATATATACAATGCAGAACGTCGTACGTACGTGCATCAGTTCAAGTTGCCATACCACATTAGCACAGAGACGCAACTGTCAGTTCAAATCCAATGGTGGTAGCGATAGTAGAAGTATTAGTAGTAATGGAGAAGATTAGGGTATAATTAAGTGAGATAACATTTGGAAGAAAAAATAGAGATGGTGAGGAATTCAGAGGGTTAGAATTTGAGAGAACACAAAGAATAAGTGCACCGGCGCCATTGCAAACGATTCTGAGCCATGTCGTTCAAGGTCTCTAACCATCGGTGACTTTCGTCTCGCGGACCCCAACCAGGTAGCATACATCTACCAACATGACTCAGTCCACTTGTTAGTGACTTCATGGATTTATGCCATGTTTTGGTCTGGCCGCCCCTAGCTTTCCTCCAACCTACTCCTACACCACTTAACTTAGCTCGTCGAGGCAGTCGTTGGTTGGGCATACGTAACACATGTCCCAACCACCTCAACTGATGAAGTTTCAAAATTTCATCTGTTGATTTGCCATCCCTACCTAGAACTCGTTTCCTAACGACAGCATTGTTTACTCAGTTGTCCTACGATACACGAACGATGCTTCGGAGATACCTATGATCAAAGACAAACAATCTACGAGTGTCCTCTACTCTTACCGACCATGTTTCTCATCCGTATAGTAGGACGGAGCGAACTTCTGCGCAGTACAATCGTCCTTTATTCAATGTTGTGACGTTTGCTTAAATAATTCCCAGCTAAATCCTATTGCTTAGTATTCTCTGACCACAATACACTGGACAAGTCCCAAAAAATCAAAAACACTGAATAATAAATAATGAACCAATGTTTTTTTTCCAATAACATAGATAGTTCAATACTGACAAAACAATCATTCAAAGAAAAAAACAGATAACTGCACATTAGATGAAAATAAGGACTAAATAAAATAAAAGGTTTTAGGAATAGTTTCACCTTACTTACACTTAAAGCCATTTCTTGCAGTGCATACGAATCGTTATAAGAATCTGAGTAAGTTGATGTTGATTCAATTTCATCGATACCTTCATTAATCACTGAAGAGTTTCTATCGGATAAAATACAGAGTAGGTAATCCATAACTTCATTTGAAGGTAATATCTCCTAAAGTTGATTAGATTTCAATGCAACAAAAACACCGTGAACAGTTAGTTGTATATTTAAGTGAAAAGAAGTAACAGTGATAATAATGAATGAATCATATAGTGATAAAAGGTGTTTGTTAACTAACGAGAAAAAAAAGTGAGAAACGCATTTCCAAGCCGCGAACGCGTACATGTATTTGATTAACATAATTATTATATGGAGAAAAGAAAATTGTTTAGTTTAAAAGCGAATGTATCACTTGGTGACTAAGCCTTAAGTATAATAACGAACATTTCTGTTCTCGTATAGGTCTAAATCAATTAAAATAATTATGGAAATTGTTACAACTAAAACAACGATCCTGGATCATTTTTTTGTGAACCAATGAGTTTGTTAACTAACTTCAATGCCTAATTCTGAAAATTCACTTTACACTATTTGAAATGAGAGAAAATATATTGTGGAACCGAATCAAAGATGGTGTTTGATTCCTACCTTTATTTTGACTCTTTACTGTTTTTTTAATTTCAAAAAGAAGTGATGACGCATAATTTTACTACAAGTGAATGAACTCACTTTAAAATAAACAGACACTCCAAGTAACAATCGTAGTGAACGTGTTACATCCATACGTTCAGTAGACCCAGATAGGTAACCAGTCTTTTTAATGATGGATAGCTGACTGACTAGTTCCATGCCAAAATTACGATCAAAAAGAACAGGTGCACATCGTTCCAATAAAATCTTTACAACACGTACATAGTTTGTTTGGTTATCGTTGACGCTATTTGGATTTTCTGTAGTCATTCCTATTTTTTTCAATATATCCCTCTAAAAATAAAAGACAACGCCGGAAATATAATACAGTAATTTGTAAAAGATTGAAACCCTGTGGAGATAACAACTTTGCTTTATATATATATATATATATATATATATATATATATATATATATATATATATATATATATATATATATGAACATATTAATAATCAGTACGGCAAGCACTTACTAATGCTGTTGTTGCCTGAGTACATGTGGTTTGTAGCTTGGTCAGTTTAAGTAAATGATTCCTTAGGGTTTTATCTGCATGAACTTGATTGAAGAAACGTTTCAGATGTTCAACTGACTTTTCTGATTTCGGTATCAAAACTTTAACAGAAAAATAGAGGGAATACAGATTGAAAAATTAACACAAATATGAGCGAAACAATTTAGTCAAGGAAAATACAACCAGAAAGAAATCTTTTAGATAATGAAGCTTCTTTCACTTATGTGAAGTGCAGACCCTGGCTTCTACTCTGGGCTATGTTTGGAGACTTCTCAAACTACTGAGTTACACCATCTCTAGAACCCCAACCAGGGAGTCGTGAAGGACCAACAGATACCAGCCCTGGACAGCTTTCTTTCATACCGCGACACCATTTTATACACTGACCACCTTTCCGCTTTTTGTAACCAGTCCCAGTTTTGAAAAATAATGTACGATGTGGAATTCGCTGGGACAACATTTGCAGTATATGTCAAAGTCACCAAAGTCGGTGTTTTAAGATGACGATACACTTCCGAACTTGTGCATTACTAACACGGTGTTGTCACTGAATGTCAGCAGTTCTTCAGAGACAACGGTGACAAACACAGAAAGCTTCCTAATATTTTTAACCCGGATACACCAGGTTTCACAAGCATAGAGCAAAACTGCTCTCAGCAATGCATTGTTGACAGCCAGACTATCACCAAAAAGACACAAAAGATAGCCCAGACTGTTATAAGCCACTCTGGCTTTCACTATACGTGAATTGATCTCATCACTCAGACAATTACTCAAATATACAAATTTTCCGACTACTTGTAACCACTCAATACCAAAAGTGAGTGCAGATTCAGAGTCCTGCCAGTCTTGTAAAAGTAATTTGCACTTCAAAGGTGCAAAGCACATACCAAATCTATGGACATTTATTTCCAACTGATTAAAAGCGGATTGCATAGCTTGAGTATCAACGCACAGTAAGACAATATCATTCACATACTCAAGGTTGGAAAGTCTTCCTCCAGGCAGTAAATCCAAGCTATCGTTATACCTACATCTATCAAAGCTGTTCTTAGAACATCATCAATGGAAAAGTCGAGGAGGAATGTCAAAATTTGGCAACCCTGCGTAAACCCACTTCTTGAATGAAACAGTGGGGAAAGGTGATTGTATGTTCTCACTTTACCTGAGGTATTTGTATACAGGGCTTTCAATATGTTAATAAACTTCTCAGGCACACCCTACTTTAATAGACAACCCCAGAAAACAGTCCTGTTCAACGAATCGAAAGCGGCATTGATGTTAAGGGACAAAACGATTGTTGGTCTGCAATGTGTATGGCAATGTTCTAACACTTGGTGGAGGGTGATATGATCAATACATCCTCGACCAGAACGAGAACTAGTCTGCTCCTCGCGAATCAATCTTTCTCGGGTTTTGAACAATCTGTGAAGTATGGTGGAAGCCAATGATTTGGACAAATCGGTAATAGATTTATCCCCAGATAACTGTTATCTAGATAACATGAACCTTTTTTAAAGGTAGGGACAAATATCGATTCATTCCACGATGTTGGAACACTCTCTGATTGCCAAACGGTTGCAAACAACTCAATCTGTCAGACAGTCAGAAAGCTACCACCATATTTAAAAAGGGTCAGAGGTAAGTCATCTGAACTTGGTGATTTGTAGCAGTTTGAGAGTTGGAGTTCTAAGCGGATTTCTGCCTCGTAAGGTGGATCAGTCATCACCGGCCATGGAGAATAGGACAGTCTGATCACTGTCGCAGGGGCAGCAGACTAGCTGAACTATTCATCAGAACATTTTCTATCGTCATTAACAGGTGTGCCATCAGCTTCACAGACTGTTTCACTTGCAAAAACTTTGGACTATTTGATTACATAACAATTTTCTTTTATCGTCAAATCCGCAGTTATCCAGAGGGGAACGACGTACCTAAACGAGTTGTAAGGAGATTGTGGAAACCCCGTTTTGCGAAGCCGCAAGTGACTTTACTAGCCATTCTCATGGCATTGTGAAAATGTAACCAGTGCTCATCTATACCTTTTGGTGGGTCGATAGTTCGAATAACTTTTGGTAATTTTTTAGTTGCTAATAGCTTCACTACTGTTGTGTAAAAAAAAGAAGGATCCATGTAGCGATATAGGCAAATGAAACTAAACTGTAACATAACTTACATAACATTATCGTGACAAGTGATACAGGTAATATTCTTGTCTTTAATACGTTGATATTCACTTAAACATACGGGTCTTCCGACTATCTTCAGAAACTAATCACCAAAGATAAGTTGGAAAAAAACCTATGTTAACCATCTGACAGTACTTATCACTTAGGTGGGGTAAAAAAATCCGTATTTACAAATACTAATTTAGTGAGTATCGTTTGTGTAATCATCAGATCACAGTGCAACTGCTATAATCGTTTGTATGTTGAAAGTTGGAAAACATTCCTACCAGTAACGTCATTCTGAACTTTGCACTGAACACTAATTAGGATGTAATCAGCCCGACAGTAAATTTAAGGAAGAATGACGAAGTATAATAGCTCAGTCCAAGTGAACTATCGACCTAGGAAAACAGAAGTAGATGGTTATATACTTTTATCTTCAGTTGTGGTTGTATAAACTTTCAATACTAACGGAATCTTATATGAGAGTTAGCACTTAAATGTTACGTTCTATACAAATTACAGAAGTTAAAAGTAAAATGAAGCTATAAAACGAAACCTATATTTGAAGAAGTATCGCACGAAATAAGACAATATTTCTGAGCACTTACTGCTAAGATGCTGTATGGCACTCATTATTTCAACATTTACTTCAGAAGGAATTTTTTCATCGCGTTGATCAGTTAACAACTTGACGACATCACGAAGAAGTTTGAGAGCACTAATAAGGAAATATTTGAAAATGTTTATCCTGTTACTAACGATCAACAAGATGGTTTAGAAGTGAGTTGATAACATGATTAATTTACTTTTCTGGTGTTAAAATGTATTCCCAAAAAAATGATCATAAAAGAAGGCATACAACAAAGTCAACAGAGAGTTTTGAATCATATTATTGATTATGGTGATAACTGGTAAAACGAAATTGTTAGGATATTCATCCAATATCCTAGCAGAATTACTGGTCAATTCCTATTGGTTAATTCCTACTGGTCAATTTTATGGTCGTTCTGACTATCAATGTCACAGACTTCGATGCTGTTTCCTATACGACCTAAATGTATGAATACGTATTATCTGTAAAGCATTCCATTCTATTCCTTCCTTCATCTCTACTGTACTCGACCCCATAAACAACTTCATCTAACGGTGTTGTGTTCTGATAATTAGAAGATTTGGGAACAGTATTTGGGGTCGTACTGAAATATCTGAATTTGGATGTCGGTAGGATTTGAATAGCTACTTAGCATCATTATAACAGAAATAGAATTTAATAGAATATCTATCTCAATGTCAAGATGCTGGATATTTGGGTTCTCCCTTCAGATCATTTTACAGGGAATTTACTACTTGTTCTCTTTACAAGTTAATTGATTTCAGTTTTTCAATGTCTGAAGCTTGATGTGGATCATGTGACTACTAGAAGTTTTTTTCACTAAAGTAGCACAAAACTATGTGAAATTAAAGTTTTCTATTGCGCAATTCTTTCGCTATTTACTTGATCAGAAGTGAAGCCTACAAACCACTTATACTGGAATATCCACCAACTTGAGACACATATAAGTAATAAGAAAATACAAAACAATGTTACAATTTCTTAGGAAATACCATAAGATATTGTGTATAAAGCCGAAAATCCCGCAATACATGATATTAAAAATTAAATAATATTGTAAATCCCAATAAAGTTCGGAAAACACGCTGGTGACTTACACGTATTGGGTCTTAAAAATTTCCTGCATCGCTTTAATTGAAGCCTCATCCATCAGACTGTAACAGCGAAACAAGGCCCGTACACGGACAGCATTTTCAAAATGGTACGGAATGATCGAACTTTTCAATAACCGTTCAACGATAAGCCTATAAAGCAATTATTCATGACAAGATACCTCATAAACAAGAATGTTTGCGTGAGGGAAAAAATGAATGACTGAATCTGATGTTAGTAAAGCATTACTATGAAGTGGGATGGCAGCTTTCATCGCCAAATTCCCTTATATGCTATAATGACAAAACTACTACTAAAATATCAAATCAGTTTACAATGAGAGGAACTTTATCATGCTTTTACGTTACTGGTCTAGAACCAACAGTTATTTAGAAACTTCAAATCGAAAAACTTCGCTACTTTTAATCTACGAACTACGAAATGTCTAATATCAGTATGAAACAAAATACATCAAAAACCTATTCATACTTCGTCTATGCGATGCCAGTAGGTAGCTGTTAAAATTCAATAATCAATAAATCAAGAAATTATACAACAGAAACAAAACGATGGTGGGGCGATATCGGAAAATACTTTTCGGAACGGCTAGTACAAATCAGGAATTCAATGAACTTGTAAGATAACTGGAATCCAGTCCTTATAATAGCTTAACGATATAGTCCAACGTATTCTAACTCAAAAAGAAAGAAATAGAACAGAATCATAGGTAACACACAGTGAAGTGTTGAATATTTGGTTTATACGTGGGTGTAATAAATAAAATCTGAACACTAAGATATTGAACTCACAAAGATCTATATTAAATGCACATATTTTATCTCGGTCAGTGGAAAAGAAACTGGACTAACATAATCAAACACAGCTATACTCAGTCAGTTGTAACGTAGAACTTCGTACGTAAGTACATCAGTTCATGTCGCCATACCACATCAGCACAGAGATATAATTGTCAATTCAAATCCAATAGTAGAAGAGGTAGTAAAGGTATTAGAAGTATTCGGAGAGGTTAGAATTAGAAGATATTATTCACGAAGTATGATTCAATGAGATAAGTTTAGAAATTAAAAACTAGAGGTGTTGAAGAACCCAGAAGATTAGGATTTGAGAGAACACAAAGAATAAATGCACTGGCGCCATTGCGAACGATTTTGAGCCATGTCATTCAAGGTCTCTAACCATCGATTATTATCATTTCGCGGACCCCAACCAGGTAGTCGACAATTACCGACATGGCTAAGTCCACTCGTCAATGACTTCATGGATTTATGCCATGTTTTGGTCTGGCCGCCCCTAGCTTTCTTCCAACCTATTCCTACACTACAAAACAAAGCTCGACGAGGCAGTCGGTGGTTAGGCATACGCAGCACATGTCCCAACCACCTCAACTGATGAAGTTTCACCACTTCATCGATTGATCTGCCATTCTTACCTAGCACCCGATTCCTAATAACAGCCTTGCTCACTCGGGTGTCCCACGATATACGAGCAATGCTTCGAAGACACCTATGATCGAAAACCAATAACCGACGAGTATCTTCTACTCTCATTGGCCATGTTTCACAGCCATAAAGTAAGACGGAGCGAACCACTGCGCAGTACACTCGTCCTTTAGTCAGCAAACGGATATCTCGCCTACGCCATAAGTGACGCAGGTTGGCAAAAGCCAATCGAGCCTTCTGTATCCGTGCTGAGATTTCGTCAGTCACCAGGCCATCAGCACTGATGAGACTCCCAAGATAAGTGAATTGATCAACGCGCTCGACTACTTCACTCCCTATCACTAGTTCAGGTGCCAATGCAACCCAGTCTTGAAGCAACATTTTGCATTTCGAGGGGGAAAACCGCATCCCGAACATGCTTGCATTGTTGCTTAGGGTAGTCAGAAGACTCTGCATTTTGTCAGCGTCTTCACCAAGTAGGACTATGTCATCGGCATATTCTAAGTCAATAAGCGAGCCACCTGGTAGAAGGTCTACTCCAGAAAATTCAGACGAGGATAAGGTTATTTCTAGGAGCAGCTAGGAACAGCTATACTAACCTGTACACTTGAATTATCAGTTTTTGTGGAATCAGAAAAGCAATGAGATGGAGTGTAGAAGACAGATTTACTCTTCAACTTCATACCATACCAAAAAAATTATCTAAGACTGGATTATAAGAAATGTGAGATTGTATGTTTCCGAAAACATATTAGATTGTTAAGAGCTAAGCAATATTTCAGTTGATAGTTGTCAGTAAAAAATGTTCCATGATACAAGAAAATTTTCAAACTTATAGTAACTTGGAATAATTCTGAAACTAACTTGTCATCCGGTGATTTCTGATAATAAAGATGCAAAATTGTATTTAATGCAGAAGCTGACTTTGTAGCGGATAACCATTCTGACTGTAAACCACTTTTATACAAAGAAGCTAAAGTAGAAGAAGCTTCTTTACGGATAGATAGAGTCTTGTCTCGAGAACGTTCCTTTAAAAGTTCAAATGCATTGTCGCTAACTTCTCTTTCGGATTGTTTGATAAGAGCAGTCATTGTCCTTAAAGCTAAAAGTCGGACTTCTGTGAATAAATAAAAAGTAGAGAACACTATAACAACATCCTGCTACGGTTAGAACAAATAATCGATAGAGATAAAGCTATACTAAATTTATGGTGAACTGTCATCAGAACTGATTACTTCAAGTGGTCTTTGTCAGGGCTGTCCACTTTCTCCATTCTTGATTAAATTTGTCGTTGACACGCTTTTAAATGACACTTTCATCGTCTGACTTTTCAGAAGCTGAACTTATACCAGGAGATTCGCTCGCTGACTAAGGATATGCCGACGACATAGTTCTACTTGGTGAAGACGCTGACAAAACGCAGTCTTCTGACCACCCTGAGCAACAATGGAAACATGTTTGGGATGCGATTCTCCCCCTCGAAATGCAAAATGTTACTTCAGGATTGGTTTCCATCGAAACCTGAATTAGTGATAAGGAGTGGAGCAGTTGAGCGTGTAGATCGCTTCACTTATCTCAGGAGTCTCATCAGTGCTGATGGACTAGTGTCTAAAGAAATCTCAGCACGGATACAGAAGGCTCGATTGGCTTTTGTCAACTCGCGTCATATATGGCGTAGGCGAAATATCCGTCTGTTAACCAAAGGACGAGCGTACTGAGCAGCCGTTTGCTCGGTCCTACTATATATGGGTGTGAAGCATGACCAGTAAGAGTAGAGGATATTAGTCGGTTACTAGAATTCGATCATGGTTGTCTTCGAAACATTGCTCGTATATCCTGGGACAATTGAGTAAACAATGCTGTTCCTAGGAAACGGCTTTTAGGTAAGGATGGTAGATCAATAAATGAAGCATTGAAACTTCATCGGTTGAGGTGGTTGAGACTCGAATTACGAATGCCCAACCACCGACTACCTCGTCGAGCTATGTTTTGTTGTGTAGGAGTAGGTTGGGAGAAAGCTAGTGGCAGTCAAACCAAAACTTGGCACAAATCAATGAGGTCACTGACAAGTGGACAAAGTCATGTTGATAGGTGCCGACTATCTGGTTGAGGCCCGCGGGATGATACTAATCGATGGTTAGAGACCCCGAATGACATGGTTCAAAACCATTTACAATGGTGCAGGTGCATCCACTTTTTATGTTCTCTCAAATCCTAGTCTTCTGAATTCCTCATCGCATTTATCTTTCTCTAAATTTATTTCACTAGATTATACTTCTTGAATAATATCTTCGAACCTTAATCTCTCCAATTACTGCTAATACTTTTACTACCTCCACCACTATGGGATTTGAATCGACAATTACATCTCTGTGCTAATTTGTTATGGCGACTTAAATTGATGTACGTACGTACGGTGTTCTTCGTTGTAACTGACTGACTGATACTAAATGTATAACTATAAAAACGGTATCCATAAAAAATATAAACGCAAATGTATAGAGCGATGGACTGTTGACTGTATGAGTGAATTTTAAACTGGATTGCAAATGCAAAACCACCTCGCTTTACCGATTTGGGTCTGAGTAGCGCCTAAGGAATGATCTTAAGGTGCTGAAATAATGAAAAAATCAACGTGAAAGCTTGTGTCCACGAGCCCCAAGGTTTTTTACGATGTGAGACTAGAGAAAGTAAATACGAGAATTCTAGATGATATGATTGCAACTTCCGGATCAATCAACGATAATGTCAAGGTTTTGATTTTCTTGGCTACCGAGACTACAAATTTGTGAGGAAAAAAAGCGTGTACAAGTCCGCAAAGGTTATTAGGTAGCTATCAACTTTTACATCAGGCAGTTAATGAGAAGCCTATGTATAGACACTTGGTGACGGCTGCTTCCGTAGATGCGTTCACGGAGGTCACAATACATGAGATGTTTTTGCATTAATAGCAAGGACATGTCTGTTGGCTATTTTTTTTTTATTTAAAGAACGTTCACGGAACTGAATATTCCAATTAATAATCATTCGCTCAAGACGATTAACAGTGTGATTTAAAGCAATAAATGAAACGTGGTAAAGTTAATTTTCTCAAACCTTGTTTAGGAATCCAATCGCCATGAATAATTTTGAAAGTTTCGTTCAAACATCCAATCATAACAAAGTAAAACTAACCTTCATCGGGATCATAAATACGCTGTTGAAAATTAGTCAGCAACTGTTCATGAAGCAAATCGTGATTTTGTTTTAAAAGCTGAGGCAACATGTGAATACATAACTTTCTAACTCCACTATCAATATCATTGAAGCGCCCCAAGAATGCATCCCAAAGACTTGGATTTCTCCTGTGAAGTAAAGAATTCTTAAGTGTTTAATATATCGAAAGTAACCACATACCGGTTCGGAAAACAAGAGTGCCAACAGCCTGAAAGACCGTTTACGCTCACGTACAATAGGCGACTTCAACTTCAACTCAATAGTTGGAAGGACTGGAGCAACTATACTGCTTTGGATTGTGTGCAGAGCGTATATGATGAGAAATGCGTGCTCTCCTAGCGGATCAGGATTTGCCTCATCATTTTCAATATCATTCAAATCAGAGGTATCCTCAATGCTGTCTTCCAAAACTTTATCGGAAGAACGAATGGGTTTACTTGTAGATTTCATATGCGTTCCATTACATTTACCCATAATTAGGGAGTTTTGTAACAGCTTGTAACTGAAAAAATACCGCATAATTAACCTACCATTTGAATTTGATATTCTAGTTGGTTAGCGGTCCTTATTATTAGGTCTCGAGCGAACGTATGTTGGGCTGGCTGAGTGCTTTTCGCAGGTTCTATTAGATACTGGAGCACAAAAGCAACTGCTTCAGCAGATAGGAGTTTCTCAGACTGAATGATAACCTTAACAGTCATATCCAGAACCATCTGACGAACAATAGTATTATCTGTCCAAGACCAAACATCAAGGTTTCTACCACTATTATTTAGTAAAATGAATCATACTTAACAATAGCAAAAACCATTTTGACGAAGCCAAGCAGGACAGATTCATCTTCCAGGAATGCACACCACATGAAAACATCGATTTGAGCACAAATCTGGACCAAAAAATTACGAAAAATTACTACGTACATATATCATTGTATGAAGTTTAATATATATTGCATCAGTTTTCGTTTTTACATTTGAAAGTAATCCGATGCAATCGATCAAGAAAAATAGAATTTCCTAGAGATTCGGTTTTTAACATGAACAATACCTTAGTGAGTACTTTTTCCTCTGATAAACCAGAAAGAGGGTTATGAGGACAGAATATTTTAAGAAGTTTGCAAATGCATACACCAACTCTTAATTGAATATCTCTGTCTGCATGTTTCAGGAACTCTGGTGATGAAAGTAAGAGAAATAATCCCTTATATTTCAGGTGATCTTGTGAAAGTGATAATCTTTCCCCATCTAGTGAAGTTTCTGTTGGTTTTCCTTCTTCCTCGATTACATTATCTAGCGCATTACAAAGCTCCTGACAGATAATAATGAATTCGGATACATACAGTCAAGCGTCTTCTTAATTCTTCTTTCGACAAATCATCATTTAGAGGCTTACAATTACGTGGATAAACCAGCTCTAAGCCTATAGACGGCATCTAACGAATAATGCAATTAAAGAGATCAACCCGCCAAAACAAAACGAATTGGATTTTCGCCAAACCTAAAGTTAGAAAAACAAATACCAAACTGCATGTTTTTGTTCGACTATTTAGCCAAAATTTTACTCTCAGATCAGATTTTCTATGATATTAATAATATTTATAGTTTCGAATCTAAAATTTACATTAGATAGAGTATGGAGTGGTTGGAATATGTTTCGGAGAAAAAACTTTATGTTTTTGCTTGTGGACACCTTTGAATGGTTTGTATAAATCCTGCTATTGAAACTTTCATCTGGGTATATATACATCGGAATCTTTAAACACATTTGCATTTTGGTTTTTGCTTTTGCTGACTTAAGAAGACAAGATTGAATTAACCAACAATATTTCAGTGAAACGACAACCATTAAGGATTTATTTATTCCCAGAGTAGCCATTACTCGTGTGTTTATTATCCAACTGATAATCATGAAATTGTACCAGTTACATAAACTTGACTAACATCAAGTTAATGATTTATTTACTAGTTTTCCTGCAACTTTTCGTAATATGTATGTTTATCGTAATCGACTAAAAATGTATAGCTTCGTGCGAAATGCCTTCGTTTTCATGTTCGAAACAGATTTTAATTAGAGAGACAATAGACGGATTTTTTTACAGAAGCTGTCTGAAGGCAAATCGAATCACAGCCTCCACGTCCAAACTTTTGTCGTCGCTAATAATATATTTCTCAGTAATCTATATGTAGAGCAAAGGACTTTTTGTAACGTGATGGCCATAAAATTTCTCGAATACGTATCAAACTCTGCCCATATTTCCTGCTCCCATTTGATCCTGCGCGTAAACAAAATCCACTGTTCAGTAAAATCCAACATCAATCACTGTCATAGGAAGCTTACTATGAGTAGATAAGCTAACAGAAAATAAGTGTATTGCAGCTATTTTGACGGATATTTTGTTAGCCAAAAACAGTTACATGGGCGTTGTGAGAGTGGAATGACTATGAATCTCTTTCAAGCGATCTTTCAAGTTGGATTCACTTAACCTTTGACGATATGTCACTGGACGTTACATGATTGATTAACCATGATCGAGATCAAACATGCATTTTGACCTTATTATGTAAACTTTTCATCTTTAGGCTTTTTATAGTATCTACCCAATCAAATTTTTCTCTTCAGAAGTTCTTACAAAGCAAGTAGGATCGATGGACTAGGGTATGTATGGATCCCGACGTCAGAGAACAAGTGTGTTAAAACAGTCAGAAAAAACGATTGGAAAGTTCCATAAATTCTGGAGATCTTCTAACGAAAGCTGAAGGACTTGGTGGAGAATTATAGAAAACTGTTAGAACATCTCCATAGATCTGTAACAGCTTGGGATAGATGTATTTTAGCTAGCAACTAGGTTCATGTTTACCATTTCAACCTACATAGTAATCGCCAGTTGTAAACGACTCAATCACAATATCGTTGATCACACATGGATTTTTAACACAATGAGCTTAGCATACAACGCCTGACCTATTGACCATTACAAGATTGTCATAACGGGATCCATTTGCAGATTTGGTCTTGAAAACCAGAAGCAAAGAACTTCAGACCAAGCTAATAGCAGTACAAAAACCCACTCTCGTTTGTCCATTAGGAACATGGAAGTGTTCAAAGAATACCTGTTATCTAAGCAGCACGTTCATCAAGCTACATATTATAACGAATAGCGTGGTCATTATACGTATTCTTTGAAACTGTACGTTTCGTTAATGTGATATAAAATTATATTGATACTGCTGCAAAAACCAATGAAAACATCACCTCTTTGTCAGAATCCGACAGCATATTTTTGTGATCAGTTTATTTACTTTTTTCCTCAGCCGTGTCTTTCGGCTGAATATTCTTTTACAATAATACTAGTTACTGCACTTGCAGTGACATGGGGTACTGCCAGATTAGAAGACTTATTAGGACATAGTTAACTGGTAAACTATGTAGTAACAGTCGGTCGAAAAGTTCAGCTAACAAAGTAACAGAGCCTATATTTAGGATAATCGGTTTTTCGTTTTCTGCGTACTTCATGTGAAGAAATTGAAGTTCGTTCTATCCAAACTTGCTAATAGTAGGTTGTAAAAAGGATATAGCTCACTTGTTCTAACCGATAAGCTAAGATCAGAATTTATATGCAATGTCTTTTAGGCACAGGATCTCTTTCCAATGACTTACGTGTTTATTGGAACGTTGGATTTAGGAGGAAGTGTTTCCTGCTATTATTATGGAAGAATCGTTGACAAAAACATAACTGCATCTAATAAACTGAAACTTCACATATACACCTCTAATATTAGAATTTATACATGTCAGGCATTGTTCACTAATCATGTACTCAGTGAAGACGAAATCTTAGGAACATTTGGGCAGTTCATTTTCAATCCTAAAACTATGCACTGTGATGCATATTAGTGAATATTTATAATTAGCGCGCGTAACAACGAAGCCACTTGTGAAAAAATGATTGAAAACAATATAAGTTACTGAATTATGATTGAGTAACACGGCATAATACACGTAAATGATCTTTTCGTTTCTTGCATAAGGTTCGTCAACCGTGTCTGATATCAACTCCACTATCGATTACACTCAATATATCCATGTTCCCTGTCATCCGCCTAAGCTTTAGATCACTGAGCTGACATTATAAGGTGTAGGTTTTCGACTTCAGTCAGTGGTCAACTATTATCAATCATTTCATTGTAAACCATGAATAATCTACTAATAAAATTGAGTGATTCCTATTCCTTTTGTTCAGTAGATCATTGACACAGCATGTGGCTGATTCATTCTTGAATTCAACCAAAGAAACACTGCTTCGTCAATAAATTTCAAAAAACGGTGATTTGACAGCAATTCTTTTGTTTCGTTTGTTAATTAATACAGCTAGATTGAAAATTGGTAGTGAAGCATGAGTTATTAATTGATTTTCAAACCAGTTGTGAGATTTTGACCAATACTCTGGTCAGTCTTTACTATTTCTTAAATCCGATATAGATCAAATAACACGAAGAGTTACATTAAATTGAATAATTTCTTCTTTTTATTAATATTTCGACATTCTTGCTTCCGTAGTTAAGTTGACCACCTAATTTAGTAAAACTCAAACTAGTGTCATAAATTCAAATAACTTTAATTAGTCATCATTACTACGAAAAAAATGCAAATACTAAAATAAGCTTCTTTAATATTTGATTGTAAAGTTATTTTGAATACGCTAACTGTACCATTTTAGTGTGCATATGCTTAAAAAACTAAACCAATTGAGTAATTATTAAATTTTGGTTGATAACCCACTAAGCAAATAAATCTTTTCGATTCACTTTTCATTCATTTATCTGACTGATCATGTTTTTTTTTTACTTCTAACAGACTTTAACAATAAAAAGAAATCAACTATCTGATATTTATATATATTTATAACTCATATTAATAATAATCTTGAGAGAAAAAAAAGAATGAATTATATTAAACAATTGCAAACACAAAAACAAATATTCTGTTGAGTGGCAAAAAATTCCGCTGCACGAACGAAAAAATTTCCGATATATATGTACTGAAAGATATGTGCGAAAGAAAAAAGAAATGTATATTTATGTACATTTGTTGAATAAATGAGATATCATCTTACTATTGTTGCTACTGCTGTTCTTACTATCTTCTTCCTTCATTATCTTATCGAAGTCAATCTTCTTGATAGTGTATGAAGGAACACTTTACTAAGTAGTTATTACATGATCTTGTTGAAGGTTGATATATTACAGTACATTGTTTGTATTTTCCAAATAACTCAGTTTACCAATCTTCTAATTATTACTACAATAGCAACAATAATGTTACGAATCTTCGAGCTTGTATTGGATACCGTCTATTTGAGATTTACATATAGTCACACTAGATTTGATCCAAGTAATCATTTATTGATCGACTTGACCCATAAGTTTGTTCTTGTTGTTGTTTTAACAAGTGCATATTGTTAGTGGGATTTAAACTTTCTTGATTATCGTTGTTGGATGATGATGACGATGATTTATTCCAAAGAATTTTGTTATTTGTGCATTGTGTTGGAAAATATGATAGCGGTCTCGGATTTATTTCTGATGATCGATTAAAAAGATTTGGTTGTTGTCGAAGCTGTTCTGGATGATGCAAGTGTAGTCTATAAGGTGAAAGTATACTGCAGTCATTTAGCCTATTACTGTTGTCATTATTTAAAGTTGTTGTAAGAGGATCGACATGATGTTCATTTATGATATGAGAATTTTTTTCATTTTCATTTAATGACTTTAATAATAAATTATTCTGTATGCTCATTAAAGGTCCATGATAATGCGAATAATGGTTATATCGTTCATTTTCTTGATAAGTAGAATAACCACAATGTCGATGATTCGATGATATTGATGATGGTAAAGAGGATGAGAATGGTGGATGAAGGTCTTGTCGATGAACCTGTTGATAATTCATAGATTCAGACAAGCATAAGTTATCATTACTCAAACATGTACTGGAATGACTATCTAACTGATTTGATTGTATTGAAAAATGCTTTTGTAACTGATAAGTTAATTCAGCTTGATAGTTCTGCTTATTTAGTGTCGATTTCTCATAATCAGCATAATTATTTGACTCTGAATTGATTGGATTTGAAAAGTTTATAGAGTAGGCTGATTTTTTATCAAAGATACTTTTGTTATTATTGATCATTTCATATTGACTGAATGATTTGTCATATTGATCAGATGTAGGAGAACATACTATATGAAGTAACGAAATATACAACAACTTATATAAGGATGGTTGTTATCATAAAAAATTTGTGTTACAGTTTTAAACAATAATTCAAAAATAAAACATGTTGCACTACAATAGAGAGATCTTATGTTTTGGTAAATATAAATCTGATCTGTTGATAATAAATAATTATAAATTCTAGTCACTAAAGTTAACTTTTTATGTTGTCAATTTTTATATTTTTCAGTAAAGATGGTACTGGATCCCATATGTAACAGTAAATTTCAGTTTGAACTTTTATTGATCAGTTGTTTGATGTGTTTTTTATCAGAAGAAAATTATGGCATTTTTTAATTCTGTTGTGTGAATGACAAATAATTTTCTAATCAGTAATTTAGCATAGACTAATGCAGTAAAGTCATAGGACTGTCAAAAGTAACATATATAAATGTTTTTGATGTGGAACTATAAAAAGAAATCTTACTTTGGAATAGGCTATTTTTATTGCTCAAGGCAGTCTTAGATTTAATTTATAATATTGACCTAGTTGTCAGTAATATCTAGTATAACAACGAATGATCTAGGCTTGAACAGCAAAGCAAAATCTATTTAATTAAGCATTTTAATTGCTCTTCAAAAGAATTTCACAACCAAACGTTGACATTAAGATGTTTACTTACTTACTTATCTCACTTATCTCCTTGTATGCCCAAATCATCGAAATAGCGAAACTAATTTCGTTATTTAAAAAAGCTTATGCACTCCGTATTTTGGGAGGAATATACTGACTAAGCAGACTATATTCGTATTTGCACATGATATATTTAGTGTTAGATAACTTGTCATTTTTGCCCATCATCACTTATAATCGATACTTTGGTGCAGACCATAAAATACCTACTTTTCAGTATTAACGCAACTCATCTGTGAGACATCTTTTTAGGTGAATACAATCCTACGTTCACTTTATGAAAGAGAAAGTAATTTTGTTCTGAATTTTATCTTTTTCAGTAAGTTTTATCTGATCATTTTGCGAATGGCACATTTTGTCTATCAACACAAAAAAATAATTAAAAAAATGTACCGTTAGAGGGAACTTATTTAACATTGAAAACAATTTCAACTAAATGGATTTGTTTACAGTATTATTATTGATTCACAGTCAGTGGAAAATCTTAATAATTTACCTGAATCGTCAGAATATCTATTTCGCATTTGCTCTGGATGAAATCGTGAAAATGATCCAGCCATCGGTAATAAATGTGGATCAGTTGAATTTGAACAGAACAAATTAGGATTAAAAACTGAAATTTTATCTGGTTGACGTAATTCAGTCGGTAGACAAGGTCTCCAATAAAAAGGATTTGTTAATGTCGGCACGACAGGTGTTGAAGATGACGATGTATTCACTGATACTACTGATGCCGCTGCAGCTGCAGCGGCTGCTGCAACAGCTACTGTCAAGCTATAATCTTTTCTTTTCTTTGATTTTCTTTTCCTTGTTTGGATTGCATCCTTTCGCATTGATGTTGGACGAGTTCTCTATAAAAATGCAGATGAAATAACTATTTTCATTTCCAACAAAAATAATAATGAAATTTAATCAAACGATTGAAATGAATGATAAACTCAAATTTCATTTAATATCACCTCGTCACAAACTAACATTAGATTTACAAGGTATTTTAGGAACATGACTGCTCAATCAAGTGACTGAGGTGGCTATTATCATTGAAAATTCTTAGAAATATGTATTTGATTTCAATATCTGTATTAATTAGAACCTATATAGATATCTATCGCAGTTATATGTTGAATTATAGTCAGTAATGGAATAGTGAATGCATATTTAGTCCTATCTAAGAGTATCAGCAACAAAATTTAAGAATAATAACAACAGCAAAGTAACAATGCAAAACTCTCACAAACACAAAGAAAACACAGACACCTGAGAATGTTTACTGTGAGTTTTATGAAAAATTTCTTATTTATTATACTTATTTTGATATCTGACTGTTTACAAATTTAAGAAAATAAAAGGTCATCACAAATTAAATCAAAATACCATGCTATTTATTTTCATTGCCACTGAGTTTATCAATTCATTGTTACGTAATTCAGTTTACTTATATCAACATCAGAAATAAGAAAAAATCGTTAATTTTTGGATTTTTTGTTTCTAGTAGTTGTCAGAGTGATACACAACAACTGATCGTAGTTTTCCTACTGGGCACAGTTTTATCAAAATAAACTGACTATGTGAGTGAATGTGAGATAATTTGTTTGTGTGTCTATATCAACAACACTAGTTCGTTTAAAATAAACTAACCTCAAAAATATTGTAATCTTTTGTAAGTTCACATGGTAATTGATATTTAAAAGTTGGAATAGAGAATATAATTTAGGCAAGTAGTATTAAAGGTGTTTTGAAATGTGAACATATTTTTCGTTAGTAGTGTTACTGACCAAATAATCATTTAAAACGTGAAGCTTAACTCAACTCTTTTTCCTAATTTAGAGATTTTTAAACGATCTTGAAATGTTGACTGTTATGATGTACCAGTTTGATTCAGTTCGAATCACAAGACATACTATCTGACAATCTGATCAGTTAAACTAAAGTAAAAGGATCAAGAACGTGTATGAAATTTTCAGGTTAAAATCGGATAGTAGCGTACATGACTATAATGAGCATATTTCTGTATATGTTCAATGACCTGAATGGGAACATACAGACAATTACTCAAAATAGGCCCTTCTAAGTTTGTATCTTACACCTAGCATGTGGCCTTGAGATAGTACATGATCTGTCGATAATTACAAACCCTGTTTGTCTTCATTTAACATTTAACTGGACCTACGCTCATCATGCTACCCAACAACACAATATATTTTCGTCGTTCAGTCAACGGTTCGTATTTTCGATTCCGATTAATTTTTAGTATGGCATTTTCCTCGTTCAGTAATATCAGTAAATTACCGTATCACTCTGTATTTGGCTCACTTCATGAATGACAGCCTCTAACAATAAATAGTTTTGAACTGGAATGCTATTTGGTTATTTAGCAAGATTAATACAACTGGAAGATGGTGAACAATTTCGATCTATTTTGAGGTTCCACAACAATATACACACTGGACCCTAAACACATTCAAAATAAGAAACCCAAGGCTAAATTTTACACCATAACCAATCTTGGATGAAAATGAATATGAATTTGTTTATTGCTGTTTAGTTCATGCCTTTATTTCAACTTACTTCTTGATCGAACAATAAAACTTAACGTAGGATTCAAGTTAAGTCGTATGAATTTATAGAATATTCCCCCTTGGATAAAATTACCTTAACTTCTTACGAGTATAATAAATCAATCTCATTTTCGCAACAATTTTTAAAAAATAACCTCAGATAAACTCTCATAAAATACTCACACCATGCAATTTTTGATATAGTCCACATGCGTTGCAAACCGGCTCTCCATCAATATTACGTCTCCATAATGTGGTCTTCGTGGTTTCACAATTTGAACAAATCAATCCAATTCTTCTGTTAGTTTGCTATAAATAGCATGAATAAATATAATTAAAAATTACATTATTAGAAGGCAAGTTTATTGTGAACCTATTACACTTGTTCACTATTTTACTACAAAGATAATTGTTTTACTACTGTTTATGATCTATATGAAACTGTAAGATTTGAATGTGATTGTGGAGTGCTGGGGATGTTAGATCCCCAGAACTCACTTGGAAAGGTCCTAATTTTATAATTTTATTTTGAAAATTTGAAGCTTTATGTCTTCGCGCCAAGAAACGCTTAGCTGACCTACAGCTTACATCTCCCACTCGGAACTCTTTGACGGTCATTGGTTGACAGATTTTTTTAGTACGCTAGGGCGTTTCTATCATTATATGAATAAACCTGATTTGTGTGCTTAGCAACCTCGCATTTTCTGGTTGCTTGTAGAATAAATTTTCTACGCCTTATCAGGACTTCTTGCTTTTGTTAGCAGGACATGGGACAATCAGATTAGAATAGCCTGCCGTGTCACTGTATCATTGATCTTCGTTCCGTTAACCGAGTAAGGTGAACTCGTAATAGTTTCAAGCATACCAATTGATGAGCAAATCGTTTGGAGTCGGCGGTTTTTGAAACATGTATCCTTCTAAACTTGAACTGTTACTTGGGTGGCAGCTGGAACTAATGCACATGTTGACAGATATCAAGTCGTAATAGTTCAATTGACGAGCATATCATGGAGTAGAGATATATGTTACTTTTACTGCTTAAAATGATCATTTCATGCCAGTAGTCAAATATTTACAATTAGTGGATCCTTATAAAAGCTAAACAGTATAGGGGATCATCGTCAGTATCTTCGCACGCTTATTTGGGAATGCAGTTCATTGAAAATTGGTAATTTATATGCAACGAAATTGATTTAGCCAGTGTGGAGATTATCAATCATTGTTAACTATTCACATACAATTGAAAATTGTCCTTGAAATATACAATAGTCTTTAAGTGTATCATCAACCGCTTATATTTCTTGTTAAGTCGTGATTATTTTGTACTAAGTTACAAGACAAATCTGAAGAGGGCAAGTTATAAAAAAACAACAACTGAATCTGCCTATTCCATTCAAATGTCCAGCTAGTGAATATTGACCGAAGGATATTAAAAAAAAAATTAAAGACACACACAAACATCAACGTACACCTACAGTTAAAATATAAACAAACATCTTTTCTTTTTTTTGCAAAACAAAAGAGCACCAACACATTGAAAATAGGCATATACTATGCATTTAAAAAAAAAATAAAGTCGTACAGATCTGAAATTTCAGTCATAAACTGTAAAATTAGAAATTTCTTTATGCATGTGAAAAACAGAGTTAACGAAGAAATAAAAAAATATAAACCAAACAAATTTATTTTGCAAAACAATGTTCTTTTGCTTTTTCTGAAAAAAAATTTGTTCAGACAGCGGTAGGCGACAATGAGTCAAACTTAAACGAAATGACTACACTAATCATAATGATAATAAATTTTTTTCTCTCACTCGCTCTCACTCTCTCTCTCCATTTAACCATAAACTAAGAAATTGCAAAAATACAAATAATTCTATGGGCACTTTGTAATTTTGTATATATTTAAGCTTTCAATTAATTTGTGTTCTAGAGATAAATGAACAAAGTGTATAATAATATATGAATATAAATATATAACATTTCACCTATTTTTTCTACTTGAATTTAACTATGTATACAAATGCAGAAAGGAAATAACTTGGTGCTGGATGCAGACTAGTATGATTACCATGTTCAATCATCAATATATGGGAAGAATTTTTTAGATACAGATAGGGAAATGCACAAAAATTTGAAAATAGCGCGTTAACTAGACTTGCTTTTTTTAAAGATTTTTTTATAACATCCTGGTAAACCGGAGAGGAGAATAACGATTTTGTTCGGTTTTTGTATTACTTATCAATAATAACATAGTTTAGAATATCCTTATGGACTATGCACTAATAATAATAATAACAATAATAATAATAATAATAAAATGTACACACTTATTTAGGCACGCTAGCATGAATGTCTACGGATGCATAGTAGTTTGTAGGCATACACTTACGGGAATGTATAGGCATCTATAGGAAATTATTAAATAAGTTTTTATTTTCCTACTTAATCATAAGAAGTACTATTTTCACACTCAGGTTATCACTTACACACACGCGCGCACAGACACACACATAAACATATCAATTCAAATGCGTCTATGGACGCACCTCCCATGATGTCTTCGTCATTTTACATTTCACTTGTCCTTAATGCAAAAGTGATGAAGTGGACAAATCTACACTAAATTTGAATTAATTGTTTATTTTACTAAAAAAAAATAAATTTAAAACTAAACAAAAAGTTTTTTTGCAGAAGGGGGTTCGAATAACATCAACACCTTAATAATAATAAAAAAAAAACAAGAAATGTTGGGCTTTATTCGTCTTTTTGCATAAACAGCATTACTAACTATAACATGATGATAATGTGCATTTTGGTTTTAACATATCTGTTTTTAACCAACTACATCTGTCTATTAACTGTTCGTTTATGTAAAAAAACACAAATTCTAAAAGAGAGGTTTTCAATCATTTAACTCTTTGAAAACACAATCATCATTATCACGAATTGATACTAGGCAAAACAAACATTTGTTGGTCATGATATCGATGGAGATTTTACATCTTATTAGGGAATATTTTTTAGATTATTTGGTGCCAAGTAGAAATTGGAACATTTAACATAAAATCTAATAGTATGGATTTTTAAGAAAAATATTAAATTACAGTGTAAGCCTATGTGTCCGCAAGTGTATTGAAACTGGAGTTTGAAAATATCTCCTGATCATTTTAAATGATTCCTCTTATTCCTAATCTGTCCTATAATTATAATACAAGAAGTTACATTGTTAAGAGATATCTAAATATTTTTAGGGGACAATAATAATAATAATAAGTTAACCAAATCATTCAAAATTAGTTTCTTTAGTTGAGCTAAAATTTATATACTCGGACTTTTGACATAGTTGTAATGCAACATCTAGTAGTCCATTTAGATTGTCTAAATCTAATTAGGTAGAGTGAATTAATTATAGAAATTGAGGTGATTTAACCATAAATTTAATGGTTTACATAATAAGCTAAACTAAAACCCAAGTTGAAATTGCATTCAGACTTTCGAGTTGTTCTAATAGGTGAGTCATAATAAGTACCTATTACCCAAGCAAATAAAAGAGGGTAATTCACTTACAACTGATGATGTAAGTCAATTCTTCCAGACCGCAGTTGAATTAAAATGCTTGGAAAAAATAGGAGCCCATTCCGTAGGATATGCAAAGTATGTTAAAACATTAACTAGGAAACTGATTATTCATAATTCAATAAAGCTTTAGTTTCTTTCGAAATTTACAAATTATTAATATTCAGCGTGGGAAAACTATCTTTTCAGTAAAATTAAACAATTAATAAATCCGCCCAGAGCCCCTCTAGGATTACTGCAGGTCTCATGTTCCCACCAAAGAGGAGGGTTTCATATGGCGCTAACAACCACACCTCTTAGAAATCAAGCTTTCTAAAAAAGCGCTAATCAGAAAAACTCATTTGAACTATTTAAACTCTATATTGTGAGTTGGAAAGTTGTCATTTAGGAGAGTAATGGTTCCTTCAGATTTAGGAGGAAGAACTATTACCAACTTACTGGAAAGAAGGTACCATATCAAGTTACTAAAAGAAAGGAAATTCTAGAAGATATGAGAGCTACAAAGATATCATTGTACCATCAAGACTATGAAAAGCCTTCAGCTTATTATTTTCAAACTGAATGAAAGATAGTGGAATTCACCACTTTACACCAATTTCCTTGATTACGAGAAAGTGTTTGACAACGTGGATACAAGGACATCATAGAAACCTCTTCGCCTAATGGTGTACCAGACAAGGTCGTCATTATCATACCGAATTCTGAAGATGAACTCCACCGTAATGTTGTGCATAGAGGGCAGCTAACAGATTCATCGCTAGTGAAGACCGGCGTCAGGTAAGGTTGTTTACTCTTAAAATTTCTCTTTCTCCTGATGGTCGAATGCATTATGAAGACATCAACATTTCGGGAGAAGCACAGAATACAGTGAGCAAATTCGATGTGGTTAGACGATTTGGATTACTCAGATGACCCAGTTCAACCATCCCACACATATCAACAAATGCAGATGAAGATGACCAGTATAGCAGCAGCCTCTGCAATAGTAGGTCTCAACATATACAACGAGAAAAGCAAGAGCCTTAGATACAACAAAGGGAGCACAAACCAAATCACACGTTACGGAGAAACTTTGAAGATGTGGAAACCCCCACATCCGTGAGCAGGATAATTGATAGACAAGATGGATCGGATGTATATATGAAGACATGGGTTAACAAAAGAAAGGTTGCGTTTCTACAGTTGGAGAACATCTTGAACTCAAAGCAACTATCAACCAAAACTGAAGTGACAATTTTCAATACGAATGTTAAGACAGTCCTGTTTTATGGGGCTGAAACTTGCAAAACTACAAAAGTCGTCATACTAAATATATAATGTTTTCAAACAGTTTTCCATGCAAAATACTGAAGATCCGTTCGCCAGATACCATTAGCAACAACCTGCTGTGGTAGAAAACAAGATAGCTTCCAGCTGAGGGAGACATCAGGAAAAAACATTGAAGGACTAGTCTATTGCACATTAGTTCGTTCCGTTCTACTATATGGATGTCAGTCAGAGTAGGAGATATTCGTAAGTTACCCGAATTCGATCACAGATGTCTCTGAAACACTGCTGGTGTATCCTGGGACAATTAAGTAAACAATGCAGTTGTTAGGAAACAGCTTCTAGGTAAGGATGGTAGATCAATAAATGAAGCATTGAAACTTCATCGGTTGAGGTGGTTGAGACTCGAGTTACGAATGCCCAACCACCGACTACCTCGTCGAGCTATGTATTGTGGTGTAGGAGCAGGTTGGGAGAAAACTAGTGGCAGTCGAGCCAAAACTTGGCACAAATCAATGAGGTCACTGACAAGTGGACAAAGTCATGATGCTAGATGTCGACTACCTGCTTGGGGGCCGTGAGATGATACAAATCGATGGTTAGAGATCCTGAATGATATGGTTCAAAATCGTTTACAATGGTGCAGGTGCATCCAGTTTTTATGTTCTCTCAAATCGTTATCTTCTGAATTCCTCATCACATTTATCTTTCTCTAAATTTATTTCAGTAGATTATACTTCTTGAATAATATCTTCGAACCTTAATCTCTCCAATAACTGCTAATACTTCTACTACCTCCACCACTATGGGGTTTGAATCGACGATTACATCTCTGTGCTAATTTGTTATGGCGACTTAAATTGATGTACGTACGTACGGAGTTACACGTTGTAACTGACCGACTGACTACTGAAAATTCGTCTATTAAGACATGAATATTAAAATATTATCAATATATGATGTGAAATCCCTTTAATGTGGGCAGATATTGTTCTGAATTTTAAAAAGGTTATTAATTCAGCATCACAGCCACCTTAAAGATAAGATTTTAATGAGTGTGTGGCCGTTTCGTTAAGTTCAGCTTAAGAATTAATATTGCATATTATTCATAATATGTTAAATTGTATCAAATAGTTAATATAACCGACGTAAAATTTAAATGAATTCCACTGTTTGCAATAGATTGGCTGAAATGATATGATTAATATGGTAATTGCTAAGCAATCCGCATGCATCAAGTCAATCCATGAATAAATGGATATGAGAAGACCGAATAATTGTTTCTCAAAATAAGTGTTATTTTATAGAACAATGTTTACATAAAATATACATGACTGAAATTCATTCGATTGCTTAGTGATTATCAGATATGAATTTGTCAACTTTTGAAACCAAGTTGTCATGATCAAGCTTACTTACTGCTGTTCATTTCAAGTGTCAATAAATTTCCTTAACACTTGAAGGAAGCGAATAAAATCAACTGAAAATTTCTAGATGAATTTAAAACGAGATTTCAATTAACCAGCGTGAACTTCATTAGCTAAGATGAATAGTATTATTGCCAATTGTAATAAAACTGATATACATAGTATGGTATTTTCAAAAAAAAGGGAATAAAATGTTCATTTATAATTCTGATTTCTAAAGAAAACAGTCCAAGTTAACGAATTCTTTTTTTCTCCTAAACTTATAACCTTCAATCTATCTGTCTATCTATGTATCAAATGCAATGGTAACTTATGATTTTCTACTCAAAAAAGTTGCATATACTTGCATCATATTGAAAGTATTTGATGTATAACAAATAAATCAACTTACTGGTTTTCTATTTGTAACAGTTTTTCCAATACCACTACGGAAAGCACGTCTACATGATAATGGTGAATAAGAAAATGGTGTATTCGATACAAATTTCGAACCATGAATTAGATTATTTGAAGATTCATTAAATGGTTCAAATGAATTTGATTTATTTTCATTAGATTCATTATTCACTGCATAATTAATTAATGAATTATTCTCTTTTATTTCACAACAATTGGTTCTGTTCGATGTTATGCATGGTTTGGCCTCATTCTCCATGGAAACCTTAGATGTTAGACTTGTGTTTGAATGATTTTTAGCTATTGATATAGGTGTCCAACCGGTTAGAAAGAGTTTTGTCGAATCTGTAGGCCCATCTTCTTCTTCTTCATCGTTGTCGTCGTCGTCTTCGTCCTCTTCTTCTTCTTCCTCTTCATCTTCATCATCAAAATTAACACCATCTTCATACGCTTTTGCATTTTCTATTCTCTCGTATCCATTCTGTCTAAGTGGTTCTTGTTGTTGTTGTTGCTGCTGTTGTTGCTCCTGCTGATTACATCGATTACAAAAGTAATGACCTGTGCCGTCGGGTTTCCCATTCGAGTAGATTTGTTCACCGCATTTTACGCATTCTTGACTAGTCTTAGGAAGAAAATGGTTCATTGACAAATTGGTATCTGTTGAATAGAAAAGAAAGAATTAAATAATAATTCAAACTGTTGTGGGAAATGTAATCTGTTAGTTCGTAATGCAATGCATGCTATGTGGTTGGTTAGATCGAGTAATTTTGTTGTTTGCATTTAGAATAATAATAATTATAATTTAGTTTAACAGATATATAAAATCTATTTGAAATCAAAAGCCTTAAGTCCTACAGATGATTTCTATACAAATAGAGTTTCACATACTTGATTATTAGCAACAATTATTCAATTTCGAATTATTTATTATGTCCCATTACTATCTTATTTGCTGTCAAATTTCTAATTTAAAGACAAATAGCTCTTTAGATTATCAGTTAGCTTAAATATATTACTTTTAAGTTAGACAGCTCGTGAAAGTTTCACTAGATGAAGTCCTTGACCAGCGACCGACTTTAGCTAGAAAATGATTGAGAACCAACAAAGAAATAACGGTGGTCTAGCTGAGGTCATTTCGTGATTTCAACAATGAAAATTCATACAATCTCCACAAATCCCATTCACTAATAAATCAATGGTTTTTGCCAGATTAGTATAAACTGATCATTCGACGCATAAAAAACTGATTTCAAAACATTTAAAGCCTGATATCCTTGAAATATTGAATCACCTTTTTGTGATACACATTTCCCCTAAATCTATCAGGCGAAACAATCATCAATTTATGATTGTTTTACAACAATCATGTATCATAAAGCACATGGTGATTCTTGAAGATGAACTTCCGATTTCTAACAACAACAAAACCAAGTAGATCATGACGAACTTGTCTTATAATTAAGCAACCTAATTATATGCCATCATCCATGGGACTTCATGGCAAAGTTTAGAAATGAATTCGCATACATTTCAGATAAGTTGAGAAAGTAATAGTAGTAGTAGTGCATAAAGCTTGAACGATTCATTATACATCTAATAATAAGCCTAAGAAAATATCTTATTCTACAATAAAATAAAATACTTGTTACATTGTCAACAAGATTAACCACACTATTTCCAATTTCTGTGATCAAAAGGCTTTTACTAATTAACAACTAGTAATTTTCCATGTATGATAAATATGTAGAAATGTTCATTGTCTAAATTTCAAACTATATGTGAATTACATCACAACATTCTCTCACATATGACCCTGAAACAATTTCACTTTCACATATACGAAAATAATAATACAAACGAGAAACAAAATTATACAGCTGATGTTGACCGTATTAAAAAATCGAACCAGCAAACAAAAAAATTAGCCAAATGACGTTTACAAATTATTGTAGTAAATATATACAAGTAATGTATATATTCGTGGTGAAAAATATCACTGAACTTGATTTTATTTTCAAGAAATATGGCATGATTTCTATGATTATTGTTTATATGTCTGAATTCTTAAAGTAAACCTTCTTTTTGTGCTATGAAAAAATTTTTCTTCTCGTCATTACAATTTATTTAAATTACATTTGGTATTTGCCGTAAATATTAAATTAGGATTCAACACATTTAATAAAACAAACTGTCGGTCTATGCGTGGAAGACTTCAAAACACAAATCTACACATAACAATGTGAAATGATAATTTCATTTTCCATTTACTTTATTATTTCTTCTATTCAATGTACTGGATGAATTGTGTCGAAGCTTAGGCTAATAATAAGAAATTTTCTGCGATGTATTGATACTTTTTAAACAGTTTATCAAGTACTTCAAATAAGTGATAGCTACATGGAATGATTTTAGGCTGACTTTATAGAAAAATTAAAACTAACGCATTTAACTACTCAGTTAAATGAATCTATTTCCGTGAAAATATCATTTAACATATGATAAGCATATGTTAGGAAATATTTTGAATAATGCTCAAGGAGCATGAACTGAAGACCTGAACTAGTGTTTAACATGAAGTATGAATGTATATTGAAATTAAATTATCAACAGACGCAAGAAATGACGTCATTTGGAGAAGTATTAATATTCAGTAAGTAAGGAGAACGGTTTCAGTGTGGGTTGGAATTTTACATGATTTCAACATTACATATTCGTCGAAAACTATTATACTTATTATTCATAAAGTCAAAATCCAGTTCTTTACATTTTCAGCTTAAGTTGTTTTGTGATATAATGTCACCTTTACAGAAATCTGTAGCTGTGTTAATGTTTCAGTTTAAGCTTAACTTACACTACGATTGCTACAACTTTCTATTAAGTTTCTGAACGTTCATGTCATAGCCATTTATAAATGAAAGCATAATAATAATAATTATTATTATTACTATTATTTTTATGAAGTAGAAGTAGATGCGTTTCTTTATGGCGAGAATTTCTTTCACACAATGTAACTTAATGAAATATTTTTTTCTAAAATCAGAGAATGTATATCTCATTGCTAAAAAATTAGTACTACATTCAAGGCTAAGCAAGATTTGCTCATTTTATTGACCTTTTTTCACAATACCATTTTCCGTAGCTATAATATTCACAAGATTTACAGAGTTTCTAGAAAACGGAAACAAGTTAACGGTTCGTAATACAAATACAAATGTTACCTTTTTTTTAACAATAGTCATTGTTTCAAAACTAATGTATGTAGCCTAATTCTGTTTAACTTAATAAATATATGTGACTCATTGAGACCTTTAAGTGAAAACGAACGCTCATCTTTCCTTACGAGATAACAGTTCTGACCCTTACTCTATTTATATGTGAGTATGAAAAACTTATCGGTCTTATCGGTCATCATTATGATTATCAGTTTTATGTCAAAACTTTCTTTTTTTTTCAAAATGATATGAAAAATTTAAAACTGATGTTTAAAAAATTGAATAACAATTAGAAGCCTGCTATTACAATTAGTCCTAACAGATCGAGTCAGCAGAAAAAGATCAATTAACTGATAAGTTGAATCAGTTGTTGCATCATCAAAAAACTTGACTGAATTATCTTCATTCGGCCGTAGGTCAATTGTTAATCTATTCTATGCGTATTGTATTTATTTGTACACGTAATTCATTTGTATTACATAATAGTTTATTGTGGGTGTGTTATTTGAACAAGTGGAACCTACACTTATCTGTTTCAATTATATTGTAGTGTTTCTTCGGTATATATAATTAACTCAGGTTTATCTAATTTTATTCAACATATCTATCAATAATTTTGCATTTGACTTGGAAAAAATTAAAACTTTCTGCAATTCTAATTCAATTCTGTACTCAATAATACTATTTTAGTTATGTTTATACACTGTGACACATATTCAGGATAAGTACAAAAATTCTATTGATACTTTGGGAAAAAAAGATTTTCACTGACAAATTGATGAAAAAAAAGTTATATAAAACAAATACGATATGCTGAAATGAGATTTTTTTTTAACGGATATTAGTGGTATAAATTTGTTGTTAATCGAAGTATGATTATCAAATTATCTTTATTACTGTAAAAATCAAACATAATATGTGTTAAGTGTACTACGAAATATGAGGGCTAGATGCCTTACAGAAAAAAGGATCTTAAAAACATGATAGTGAATATCTACCCGTGTAAATTAACATTTATTGACAGTTTATTTCCTTTCATCCCGAAGTATAATAAATAAACATCTCAGTGACAAGTAATTAGTATTGTCAATTACAAGGTTACGATATTGCCTTACTAACCACTAAAAGTCTTCTTCATATCTGTGTCTGAAATTACCTGTCATATATGATAAACGCCAGTTTTCCCTTTCCTTGTATGTTGACCCGATATTTCTGTTTTTTAATTTTTAACAAAAGTACCTACTATCTAAGAATAATTGCTTGATCACTATGCCACTACAATGAAATTTTGCTATCCGCGATGATATATCATCATTCCATATAAGAAAAATTAAAAACAGATTATCTATCAATGAATATTAATCATAAATATTAAGGTGATGAATTGTTGAGTAGCTAACCTTTTACATTTATTCCTGCATAGTTCACCATAGTCTTTCTATGTCCATGTTGATTTAATAATGAATTCGTTTGGATTGTTGTTCTAAGAGTTGTATTTTCAACTGAATACATTCCGCTCATTTCATTTTCTTCAAAAGAATAATTGGATCTACCAGAATTATATAAAGAATTATTCATATCTTCATTAGCATCACGATTCTCAAGGTAGTCTTTATTAACACCTAGTAACGGTGAACTAGTATATGTTGTTGTAAAAACTTCAGAATTCAATGAAGAGGAACTGTTTTGCTCTGTCCTATTTTGTTTATGATTACTATCAAACAACTGACGTCTATAATCAACTATTGAGAGATTATTCTGATTACTGAATTCTGTTTCTGGCTTGAGGCGTTGATTTGTCTTTTCAGGGGAATTATTTTTATACTTATTATGTAGTGAATATGATAGGCAGGTAGGGTGATGGGTGTCAATGAAACAATCTGATACAGAGCTGAAACAAAGTGTCTTGTTTTCAGTGTTCAAGAAATTATTAGAATGAAAATTATATTCTTGTTTCTCATAGACACCAATAGGATAATCATTATGATTTGTAGTATTACAGTTGTTGAGTTGAGTTGAATTCCTTAGATCTGATTTACATTGAGATATTGTCATTTTACTTTGATTATTGTAACAAGTTCTATCCTCAGGAACAGTGATTTCATTGTTTTGTCGGATATATTGATCTGAATGAATTTGTGATTTGAATGCAGAATTCAATGTTAATTCGTTGTTAAACATGGCATGAGATACAGGAGGTGATGTTGACAACGATGATGACGTTGCTGATGATGAAGTGCAAGGAGAACGACAATCAGACTGATTGATCGATTTGTTATAATCAGTTAGATATTCTGAAGGCATCTTATTTGAAGTAGATAATTCTTGTGATGGAAGAGTGAGCATAATTTTTGTTTAAGACTTATGGTTAATAAAGTGATTGAAACTAGTACTTCACCGGAATAAAATCGAACCTTTAAAAAGAAAGTTAAAAAGAAAAACCAGGATATGAGAACTGTACACTCTAGTACTGATAAATAATTATGAATACTGAAACCTGACATTCTTGGGTTGTTTTAATACGGTTATAATAATGCAGTTTGGATAAAATTATTTTCTCAATTTAAGATATGTTGACTATGGCATGCATGAAAGTTTAAGTGTTTTAGGGAATTCACGTGTCAAGTGAATAGTTCGAATGGATGAAAACAGGCTAATCTTTTAGCGAATTGTTTGTAATATTCAGTCTTTTAATAAGGATCCGATGCAGATGTGAGGGCGCGAATTGGCAAAGCGAGGGCTGCATTTCTACAGTTGAAAAATATCTGGAACTCCAAACAACTTTCAACCGAAACCAAAATCATGATTTTCAATACGAATGTCAAGACAGTTCTACTGTATGGAGCGGGAACTTGGAGAACTACGAAAGCCATCATCCAGAAGATACAAGTGTTTATGAACAGTTATCTACGCAAAATACTTCGGATTGGTTGGCCAGACACCATCAGCAACAACGTACTGTGGGAGAGAACAAACCAGATTCCAGTGGAGGAGGAAATCAGAAAGAAGTGGTGGAAGTGGATAGGACACACACTACGAAAACCACCTAACTGCATCACAAGACAAGCCCTCACATGGAACCCTTAAGGCAAAAGGAAGAGAGGAAGGCCAAGGAACACATTACGCCGAGAAATAGAGAAAGATATGAGAAGAATGAAGAAAAATTGGACAGAATCGGAAAGCGAAGCCCAGGACAGAGTTGGTTGGAGAAAACTGGTGGGTGGCCTATGCTCGATTGGGGGTAACAGGCGTAAGTAAGTAAGTAAGTAATCTTTTAATAAATTCAATTTGTAAACTATCGCTTGATTACTGTACAGTGTTCTTTGAATCAGCTGATAATTACATGTATTGACTAAATGAAATGTAATTTTTTTTATTGTTGATAAAATATACTATCCAATTTGTTAATGGTATTGGAAAAAATGTCTGTTAAAGTTATTATATATTTCATTAAAGGTTTGTATTAAGACTTTGTCGGTTGGGACATTCAAAATTATCTTAAACATACTGTCCTGAAGCGAATAAAGTTGAGAAAAAACTACCATTTAGTCAGGCACTGGTTTAAACTTCACCAGTAGGTATGTCAAAGATATGAAGATAGGAAATTACCAGCTGAAGTTATTTGAGAAGTAAGTAGTAATGCTCTTAGACAATCAAAACTAAGTTAAACTGAAAGCACCTTAATTCAAGTAGAAAGTGCAAGAAGTTGTTCGGAGACTCACATTTCAGATCATAGTTACTAATGCTTATGCAATTAAATGCAACCAAAAATTCGGTTTTAATAACTATACATGCTATAGAACAATTTCTGAATAAACTTCTGGATAGTTCCGATGTACACTTAATGTTTATAAGTAGGCTGAATTGTTCTAGATTTGTTATATGAAATAAGGTACAAGTAATGTAATTTTTCAATCATAAGATTAGGGGATTGGTTTACTGAACTACATTTTTAAAAAAATTCAAAAACTGAATTTTGTAAAATAGTGGTTGATCATTAGGGGAAAACTAATTTCATATTATTCTCAGTGTAGTGTGAAACATTTTCTGTGGATTAATCGAACAATCAGTAAACTAAACTCATCAACAATGTTTTTGGATTAGAGCTGATCAGCAAAAGCTCTTAATTCAACTCCTATGATTGCTGTCACGCATCTCAAAGACTTATCTTTAAAATCCAGTTGATTGAAGATGAACCAGAGATTCAAAAATTGTTTTATTATAAGTAGACTCATTAGTAATATATTGAATAGTAGTTCAGAATCTACACCAGTCAATTAGAATGAGCATACTTGACTTATCCTAATGATTGTTAGTGATAAACGAAACCCAAATGTTTGAACTTCTTAAAAACTTTCTTTAACAAAGTGCTTACAATAGCTCGTCGTTTAACAGTTAGCATTTTTTGCAAAACGACTAATTAACTAACAGTTACGAATAGATTTTTATTATTATTACTGAATGAATGTATGAACTACCTATTGAAAATAATAACTTTCACAATACATATTTTGTTTATCAAATTTATTTGGTTAAACTCTATTTTATTTAAAATATTATGTCAATCAAATGGTAAAATAATCAAACACAACTAAGATATTGAAAGATGCTTTTTTTTTCATTATCAGCAAATGTGAACTGTCATCTTGGAAAATATTTTTTATTAATACATTACAAAGAAGAAGCTTTTAACGATTTCTGGAACAGGCAAAAGTTTATAGTTTTTTTATCGGAAAACAGCGAAAGTAATAATGAAGTTCATATCGGTAGAAAAAGAATGTTTCTACTGTATATGAAGGCCGTATTTCATGATAAGTTGACATTTATCAAGTAGTTAATGGTAATCAAAATAGATTGAATAGTAGCTTAACTCAGTATTCATCATCATCATCAGTCACTCGTTTATCTTTTGTGACCTTTAGCTGGAACAGTTGAATGGGGAATTTCTGATCACAGCCTATTTATAGGTCAGTGATAAAATGCTATCAATACAGTTAAAGTAATTTGATGAGCCAATCGTATGAAATGATGGGGTTTCATTTACAATTGTTCCCCTCACATCACTAAATAGAAATATATTTTGAATACGCAAACAAGAGACTGACATCATGATATATATTCAGTGAACTACAGTATGACATGATGTTTTTAAACTTAACAATAGTGACCAAAATATGATTGAATGGAACTGGCTAAATTAATGGTGCTCTATTTGTCCTGCAAAGTATTATAGTGTGTCAGTCTAGAAAGGAGTGATTAGTGTGTTCGATGTGCATTTCTACACTACATTATTGTCTTTAACTTAGCCCTAAGGGAACCGTTTTTTCTGAAGCACGTTTGCTAGTATCAACACCGAGAGTTCGACAACTAACTGGTTGTGGTCTGACTTTTATGAAAGACAACAAAATATTGTGCTTCGAGTACCACAATCAACTATTTCTTATTCTGTCCGTCCCAAACTACACCTGAAATCTTCTAAGAAAAATGCTTTTGTTAACCATATGGGTGATTTTAAATTCACTTAAAATGAATGAGTTTTTTGTATCAACTTAATGATAGTTTATTTTTAGTAGTCTCTCACTTAATCTTATTAGCTTCAACTGGAGATATAAAAAACACCCCTGCCTGAATCACATGAAATTTATATTGTTTGATCTGTTGTGATGAAAACTATGTCCAATCATCTTGGTATAAATGTTTTCTCAGATCTATTTAGGCATTCTCATGAATCACTCATATTGAAATAAGACTGTTGTCTGACATATTAAATAGCTACATATATTTTGGCACTACCAGATATTCGCTTAACTGTTTCTTGAATACTACTTTTATCCTTTACAATTTTCCATTAAACTTTCATAGTCTCTTGAGAAAAGATTGCAATGAGTGCTGATAGCAGTGAGCAAAATATGCGGAGAATCTTTTGATGTCAATATGAATATGGTTCTAAATGACACTTGAAAATTACCGGCAAGTGTTAATTTATCAAATATTAAGTATCTGTTTCACATGTTTCTAATTGTAAATCTCCTGCTAGATACATTAGAATCCGTGTATACAAGCAGAAGTATAAAAGCTCTATCGTATTATAATAAGAATATGTATTTTATGGTGAACAGGTTGTAAGAACTGACCTAATCAAAAACTTATATTCTTCATCATGGTGCTAATTCAGATTTTATTGATTAGTATTTTCTTGGAAATGTTTCACTTAATTCTATATAGTTTCATAACTTACTGCACATATGAAGGTATATTTTTGCATATTTCTTTGAATTAATAAGAATAAATCATCAAAATAGGCAAATGGTAATTCTGCATAATAAAAAACTCATTTAGCGTTCTTAGCTTTGTGTATCATAATCAGAAAAAGTTAACAATTGAAGTTATATTAAGCTGTGATTATTCTCATTATTATTATTATTATTATTATTATTATTATTATTATTATTATTACCATTTCATGATTTACACAACTATTATATTAAGCTTTAACTGAATTTTCTTTTCAGTTACTCTGTTATTCATTTAACAAGTAATAAACTAATGTATCGTGCTTTGAACCATCGTATTCATAAACTTGTCTAGTGTGGGGGATATAGATTAACAGTGTACCTTTAATATTTTTTTAGATCTTACACTTCACCATAGATTCTAGAATCAAAAATCATGCTTTCGAATGGAATCACTTTTATAACCATATTTTAATTTAATTACTGGATTTACAGGGTAAGTGAATTTTTAAATTGATCTCTTGAAAGTATGTACACTCTACTACTGTAAGAGCTCAGCTGTGTCTACAATTCATTTGATGTAAGTGATAGAACAGAGTATTTTTTTTTCCTTTATTTAAATTGATTTTCTATTCTGTATGCTGAGTGAGACACATCAATGATGAATTGAGATTTATGTGATATTAAGTAATCCAAATGATATTTCCCTATAAAGATTATCCAATCAATTCCAACAGAGGTTTATGAAGATGGAACTGTGTGAAATCCATGTAAAATCCTCAACTCTTTGAACAGTTGTTATTTTATTCTTAGTTTAATTGAGGAATATAATTATATTACCTTCTATAAATGCTTTATGCCTACATTTTTGGCTTGACCACTGATCAGCATATATATATATATATATATATATATATATATATATATATATAGTGGACTTTTTAAAGCATAAAAGATAACTTTACGCATAACAACATTTTTTTTCTATGTTTATGCTTTTTTCATAATGTTACCTAATCAACATTAAAAAAAAAACTTTGTCAGATTATTATATTTTTTTAACTAAAAACCAAAAAAATTATAAATTTTTTTCCTGTCATTTTACAAACATTT